GCATTTGTTGTTTTCAACACAAACTCAACATTAAAACTCAAACAAACCAACTCGAATTCCTGTGATTAGAAGACCTTTCTAAAATTCCTGATTTCTTTTTCATGGATCATTTCATTGTTGGGTTCGTATTTCAAAAACAAGATCCACATGAACTTCGACAGTGGACTTTTCCACGTGCAAAACTGACCGGAGAAAACGACAGGAGCCAGAGTCAAACAATGCCAGCCAGGGTGTACAATCTTGAGGCACGTGACGACATCAGTGGCCAGTGCCGTGCCTACTCAGTTAAAATTGGGGCAACAGCCCTAGGCCACAATCATATATTCAAAATTTTAGGCCACATTAACAAGATGTGTTTTAACTTACTTGATTAGTTTCTTTTTTCTATTGGATTTTTATCATCACTTTGTTTAATTTTTATGTTTAGTTTCTTTTTCTTATTGGATTTTTATCATCACTGTCATTTATCTTTTTGTTTTCATCTTTTATTATTTTATAATTCATCCTACATATTTTCTTACTCTATTGAAGTTATTTTTACCAAAGTTTTTGATGATATTTTGTTAATTAAGTTTTTTTTTTTAATAATTAAAAAGGCCACAATTTTAATTTAGCCATAGGCCTCTCAAGTCATAGGCACGGCACTGTCAGTGGCTCAACGGTCATATTCAGAATCAGCAGCAAACTATTGGCACGTGACAAAGAACAGACCCCACCCACCAATCATTTTGCTCCCTTGTCTCCTTCCTCAATCTTATTCTTACCCAAAAAAAACAATCCTAGCTTAGATTAAAACAATTTTTCAAAATCAGTCGCGCATTAGTGATTTTGTAATCTTAATACCAGAATTAATTATTAGTTGAATGATGTTTTTTCTTTAGTTAAAAATCAAAACACACTTCGGCGCGAAAAACATAAAACTTCCTAAAGCGTGTCCCACATGCATCAAATCCGGATGCGTTAATTACGTTTGACTAATAAATAATCTCTACTGGACCACTAGAGTTTGAAACATAAAATTTAATTCGACTTCTTGGTCCAAACAAAAGACATTAAAGAAGCTCCAAAGACCAATAAATAATGCTGAATTTTTTAATAATTGCTTCTTGTTTTTTTTTTTTTTGACTAAAAATTTAAATCAGGAAGACTAAAATAAAAACGGTTAGGCCGGTGAAGGCTGAGAAGTTGGGTCGGCGGAGGACGGAACGTCAGGACCAACACGACAGCCTTCAAGCATGAAAACAACATCGGACATTGATGGTCGGTCAAGAGGATCTGTTGCAGTACAAAGAAGTCCGACTTTGATTCCTAATAAGAACTCTTCCCATTCTGATGATTCCGGGTCGAGTTCCAGTAGTCCCGGTTCTAGTAGCTCTGTGACTTGGCCTCTCTGAAGCTGTTTCTTCACCCATTTCACTATATCCTCGTCTTGTGTGAACATTACCGGTCTTTTTCCCGTTAGGATTTCGAGTAGGACAATGCCGAAGCTGTAGATGTCGGATTCTCTTGTGATTTCTCCGGACAATGTGGCTTCTGGAGAGACATATCCTAGCGTCCCGATGGTGTTTGCTGTGACAGCTGATCTTGATGGGGATCGAACCGTGAGACGGTCAAGCCCAAAATCAGATAAATGTGCTTCGAAATCAGCGTCGAAGAGTACATTCTGTGGCTTGATATCACCATGAACCTATTTGGGATAAGAGATGTTAAAAAGACTTGAAGTGATGTATTATTTAGAATGTGATTTAAACCATAAAATTCTTACCATGTTGGATTGGTGGAGGAAACCGAGTCCGCGAGCGATTCCGAGAGCTATGAGGTGGCGCATTGGCCAGTTTAGGACATGGCCATCTTGGTGTGAAGCTTCTTGGAGCAGAGTAGATAAGTTCCCGTTGGGCATGTAGTCATATACCAAAAGCCTTAAATCTGGTGGACCTGCGTAGTAACCTCTAAGAACCGTGATGTTTCGGTGCTTGACTTTACCAAGAACTTCGGCTTCCTTTTTGAACAAGTTCTCATTTAAGAGTGAGCCATTGGGTAAGCGGCGGATAGAGAGAACCATTCCATCATTGTAATTGGCTTTGAATAGCAATCCGTATCGGGTTCTGCTAAGAACATTTTCTTCATCGAACTGTCTTGTTGCTTCGATTGTTTCAGCTAGCGTTATCTTGTTGTTGAACATCACTAGCTTTGGTTCTCCATTTTCTGTGCTTGATCTGCTTGTGCTGCTACGGACTCTACTTCCTGCGCTTGTTCTACCAGGACTTCGTTTCTTCTCTCCCGTTGTAGACTGTTGTTTCAGCTTCTTTCTCCATTTCAAGAGTGTGTAAACGTAGAAGCAGCAGAAGAGTGATAAAAGGAATGCACCTATTGCAGCCATAACTATCATCAGAATCATTTTCCTTTTCTTCTTCTTTTCTTCCGCTGTGCTGCTTTCGCATTTTCTGTTTAATGGCTTTCCGCAGAGCTCTGTGTTACCTGCAAATTCTGATGGGTTGTTGATTCTTGAGCCTAAAGAAGCTGGAATCTCTCCTTTAAGGTTGTTGCTTGAGACGTTGAAGTACACCAAGTTACTGGAAATAATGGCGAGGCTAGCCGGAATCTCCCCGGTTAAGTTATTAACAGAAAGATCCATCTTTGTCAAGTTTGATAAACCAGAAAAAGATCCAGGTATGACTCCTGAAAGATGATTGTGGTCAAGTGACAATGAGTTGAGAGACGAGCTCTGAGAGATTTCTGGTGGGATTTCGCCTGACAAGTTGTTCCGACCCAAGTCAAGCACCTTCAAACGAGGAAGACGAGAGAGATCGGCTGGTATATGACCCATTAGCCGGTTAGATCTTAACTCTAGAACTTCAAGAGCTGAGCAGTTTCCAATTTCAGGTGGAATAGACCCAGATATGTGATTATCTGACAGCGACAAAGAAACCAACAACCGAAGAAACCCGAAAGTCTGCGGAATCTGACCGGAGAATGAATTAGAGCTAAGGTTCACATACCTTACACTCACCAAGCTACTAAACCCTTCAGGTACAACACCAGAGAAGTTGTTTCCCTGCAATGCAATCACTTGCAAGTTGGGCAAACCAGAGAGCTCAACGGGAACCTCACCGGACATATTCTGCTTGCTCAAATCAAGTGCTGTTAACTTAAACAGATTGCCTACACTAGCTGGTATCTCACCAGAAAATCCATTCCCACTCAAATTCAAAAAACTGAGGTTACTTAAGTTGCTGATACTAACCGGAACTTCCCCGGAAAAACGATTTCCACTCAGATCCAGCACAGACAGATTATTCAATGCCATTAACTCCACTGGAAAACTTCCATTCAAGTTGTTTTCACCTAAGTTCAGCCTATCAAGCTGCTGCAGATTCACCATTGACGAAGGAACATAACCTGAAAAGCTGTTTCTGCCTAAAGATAGAACCTTTAAAGCCTTCATGTAGCCAATAAACTCTGGAATCTGACCTTTTAAACTGTTTCCTTCGAAATCAAGAACACCTAACGAACCACATTGCTTAATCTCAACAGGAATCTCACCAGTAAGAGAGTTATTAGCCAATTTCAGTTCCTCTAATCTCTTCAAGTTACCAATCTCCGGCGGAATCTCACCGGAAAACAAGTTCCCAGAAACATCAAGATTCGTTAGTGACAAAATATTAGTCAACCACAACGGGAAACGGCCGGAGATTCGATTTTCCCTGAGATCCAAGACCTGTAAACCGGTACGACAGTTCGCCGTCGTCTCAGGCCGTACGATATCAGAGAAAGCGTTGAACCCTAACTGAACAATCCTAAGCGATGTGTTGCAGAAGAGAGAAAACGGCACCGTACCGGAAAAATTGTTGTTAGAGAGCGAGAGAACCTCCAGTTTAGGAAGAGCACCGTACGCGGCGGGAATCACGCCGCCGATTTCATTCTCCGACGCGCTCAAGTGAACTAAGGAAGAGCAGTTTGAGATCGCAGACGGTAATGTCCCTTGCAAGAGATTGAAATCAAGCCATAAATACTGAAGACTCTGGAGGTTACCTAGACTCGCCGGAATCTCTCCGGTTAACTGATTATACGAGAGATTAAGAAGCTGGAGCTGAGTCAAGTTAGCAAGTCCACTCGGTATCTGCCCAGAGAAGGTGTTCGACGAAATGTCAAGGAACTTAAGACTCGATGGTAAACCAACGGAGATCTCACCGGAGAGACGGTTTCCAGCAACATTAAAGACCTCAAGCGATGTGAGATTCCTCATCGCCGGAGATAGTTTACCGGAGAGTGAGTTGTACTGAAGAAAGACGGAGAATAGGCGCGTGCAGTAAGCGAGTGAAGCAGGGATTGTACCGTTCAGAGAGTTTGACCGGAGACTGAGCTTCCGTAGCATGCGTAGACCGGAGATACGATCAGAGATTCGTCCGGAGAGCTGGAGACGAGGAAGACGGATCTCAGTGACACGGTGGTTAGTGCAGCCGACGCCACGCCAGTCACATGGAGCTGCTGGAGTTGAAGGATCCCATGAAGTTAGAGCACCGAGAGGGTCATGGAGGTTGAGTTTAAACGCTGTGAGAGCATCAATCTCGGCTTGAGATTCATCGGCGTGTGAGAATAACGGCGCGTAAACGACCAGGAAAATGAATAACAGAGATATATCCATGGCCTTAGATCTGTTGCAGTGAACAAAATGAAAACTTAGCTTGAAGAAGGTGAGATAAGTGTCCCCATGAGTGTGGTTTCTTGGAGAGAGAATGAGCAAAAACTAAAAATGAGTAAAGTTAAAGTTTTTAAAGAAGAAGCCGAAACATGATTATATAATTAATTTCTTTCTTTAGATAATTTGAAGTTTATTTGAAGTCCGCACTATATTCCATGCATTATTAAAAAATGATATTTGTTACAAATTGGGGAAACATTATTCTAATCATTATACTGTCCTTGCAAGTTTAAAAAAAAAAACAGAGAAAATCATTATTTTGTTTCTTCTTTTTCTGGTCCACTCGTTTTAAACTCCCGGCGATCGATTTTCACGGCGAGAAATGTCGTCGGCGCTAGGCTCTGCTTTACTCACCATCTTCACGATCTTCTTCTCGTATTCGAGCTTGTCTGATGGATTACTACAACCTCGTAGGATTTCTCATGGCTTGTCCAAAAGTAGCAAGTACTTGACAAGGGATGAGCTCTGGTTCAATCAAACCCTAGATCACTACTCTCCTTCTGTAATCAATCTTCCCGTTTTCGTTTTTAGTTCCTGTTACTCTTGCGTTACTGAAATTGGGAATCGACTTTAAAAGGGGAAACTTCTTAGACTTCAAATTTCGCTGCAAAATCCTAGTTACCAATCCGAGTTGTTTCTAATTTTATTTCAGGATCATCGCAAATTCAGGCAGCGTTACTATGAATATCTTGACCAGTTACGAGTTTCAGACGGACCTATCTTTATGATGATCTGCGGTGAAGGACCTTGCAGTGGAATCCCCAATAACTATATAAGTGTAAGATATTTTTCCGTAAAACATATTCATTTGATTGATTAATCTTTCTCATAACATCTATAATTTCTGTAATTTGCATTGTTTTTACTTGATAAACATGGTCATCAGGTGTTAGCAAAGAAGTTTGATGCAGGCATTGTTTCACTTGAGCATCGTTACTATGGAAAGAGCTCACCGTTTAAGTCGTTAGCCACTCAGAATCTCAAGTATCTTTCATCTAAACAGGCCCTTTTCGATTTAGCTGCTTTCCGCCAATATTACCAGGCAAGTAGTAGTCTTATGGTTTTTACTTTCTCTAGGATCAAATGTTTGAGAAGCTGCGTTTATTAGCATGTTTTGGGATTTGTTTGTGGATCAGGATTATTTGAATGTTAAGTTTAATAGAAGCAGCAATGTTGAGAATCCATGGTTTTTCTTTGGAGTGTCTTATTCTGGAGCTTTAAGTGCTTGGTTCCGGCTTAAGTTCCCTCATTTGACCTGTGGAAGCCTCGCTAGTTCCGCAGTTGTCCGTGCTGTCTACGAATTTCCCGAATTTGATCAACAGGTATTCGGTTTCAAGATTATAATTTAAGTGAATACATGTTTTGTTTTTTCAGATAGAGTTTAGTTGCTGACAGAATCGAGATTTTTGTGCCTTATTGAGTAGATAGGTGAGTCGGCTGGACCCGAATGTAAAGCTGCACTACAAGAGACTAATAAACTCTTGGAACTAGGGCTTAAAGTGAATAACAGGGCTGTGAAAGCTCTCTTCAATGCCACCGAGGTCTAGCTTTGATGTTTCTCTTTTCTTTTGTTTGAAACTGATTAATTAAGGAAGCAAGGAGTCTGTCTCCAATCTGATTAAGTTTCTGAAATTTTTAGCTTGATGTTGATGCTGATTTCTTATACTTAATAGCGGATGCTGAAGTTATGGCGGTAAGCGTGTTCATTTCATATTTATAAGATTTTCATTTTCTTTCTAGTTTTAGATGTTAAAGATTTTGGCAGATCCAATACGGAAACCCGGATAAACTATGTGTACCACTCGTGGAAGCTCAAAAGAATGGTGGTGACTTAGTGGTAAGTTCTTTGTTTTTTTAGATCCCTCTTTGCTTCTGCTTGGTGTATATATATGATCAGTGAGCAATGGTTTGCAAACAAAAGAATTGTATTTGGTGATACATAATATTGGACGTGTTAATGCAGGAAGCATATGCTAAATATGTTAGAGATTTTTGCATGGGAGTTTTCGGGCTAAGCTCTAAATCATATAGCCGGAAACATCTACTAGACACTGTGGGCACCCCAGAGAGTGCAGATAGGCTTTGGTGGTTCCAAGTTTGCACTGAAGTGGCATATTTCCAGGTGGCACCTGCAAACGATAGCATCCGGTCTCATCAGATCAATACAGAGTATGCACAGACCCAAGCTTATATATCATATGCAGAATTCTGATTTGTCGGTTCCATTTATCGTCCCATTTACGCTTCTTTTGATTTCGTAGGTATCATTTGGATCTATGCAAGAGGCTGTTTGGGAAAGGTGTCTACCCTGAAGTCGATGCAACAAACCTGTACTATGGAGGTGATAAAATTGCTGGTATGCAATATCGGAAAACTTCTCGATGATCCTCTACACTTTTGCACATTCCAACAGTTTCTTCGCATCTTCTTATTCACAATTTTGCAGCGACCAAGATCATCTTCACAAATGGGTCACAGGATCCATGGCGTCATGCATCCAAACAGACCTCATCTCCTGAACGTAATTCTCCATTTATTCTGATCAAAACCTTATAACATTAACTCAGTCTTAGTCTACGTCGTACAGTTGCACTCAGACAAATACTTTGTCTGGGACACTAACAATATAATGCTTGACGACACAGTGCCTTCTTACATCGTGACTTGTCACAACTGTGGCCATGGAAGTGATCTTCGAGGATGCCCCCAATCTGCAATGGTCATTGAAGGTATATTACCGGCTTCTTCTCTGTTTTCGATGCCTGAACTCAAGGACATGTAATGAAACAACTGTTAATAAAATATGATGTCCCTTGTTTTTTCCTCCCATTTGCAGGTGATTCCGAGAATTGCAGTTCACCAGATGCAGTGAACAAAGTGAGGCAACATATAGTAGAGCACATCGACTTGTGGCTCTCTGAGTGTCGTGGAGAGATTAGGTCGTGCAGAGATTAGGAGTTCCATGTAAGTCACACGAACTACGGGTCTGCAAATAAATAAAACATCAGATGTATGTTCTAAACTTGTATATCTATGTAACTGTGGAAGAATTGTAAGTCGACTCGGTATATAATTAATTTGTTTTTTAAGGTGAAAAAAATAAATTAATTTGGTTCTTTAGTTTTAATTTGAAATTTATTTGAAGTCTTTATTAAAAATTAAAAAATGGTTTTTGTTACAAATTGGGGAAACATAATTTCTAATCATTGTACTATTGTTCTTGCAAGTTTTTTTTTGAAAAAAACAAAAAACCAGAGAAAGCCATTATTTTTTATTTTACTCGTTTTGAACTTCCGGCGATCGATTTTCACGGCGAGAAATGTCGTCGGCGCTAGGCTTTACTTTACTCACCATCTCCACGATCCTCTTGTCGTTATCGAGCTTGTCTGATGGATTACTACAACCTCGTAGGATTTCTCATGGATTGTCCGAAAGTAGCAAGTACTTGACGAGGGATGAGCTCTGGTTCAATCAAACCCTAGATCACTACTCTCCTTCTGTAATCAATCTTCCCGATTTCATTTCTTCTAATTGAAATCGAATTGTTTCTAATTTTGGGATTCGAATTGTTTCTATATTAGGATCATCGCAAATTCAGACAGCGATACTATGAATATCTTGACCATTTACGAGTTCCTGACGGACCTATCTTTATGATGCTCTGTGGCGAAGGACCTTGCAATGGAATCCCCAATGACTATATAACTGTAAGATTTTATTTGATTGATTAATCTATTTCTCATGGCATCGATAACTAATGGAAATTGCATTGTTTTTACTTGATAAACATGGTCTTCAGGTGTTAGCAAAGAAGTTTGATGCAGGCATTGTTTCACTCGAGCATCGTTACTACGGAAAGAGCTCACCGTTTAAGTCATTAGCCACTGAGAATCTCAAGTATCTTTCATCTAAACAGGCTCTTTTCGATTTAGCTGCTTTCCGCCAATATTACCAGGCAAGTACTAGTCTTATGGTTTTTACTTTCTCTAGGAACAAATGTTTGAGAATCTCCGTTTATTAGCATGTTTTGGGATTTCTTTGTGGATGCAGGACTCTTTGAATGTTAAGTTTAATAGAAGTGGCAATGTTGAGAATCCATGGTTTTTCTTTGGAGCGTCTTATTCTGGAGCTTTAAGTGCTTGGTTCCGGCTTAAGTTCCCTCATTTGACCTGCGGAAGCCTCGCTAGTTCCGCAGTTGTTCGTGCTGTCTACGAATTCCCTGAATTTGATCAACAGGTATTCGTTTCAAGATTAAACTTTAGGTGAAGATATGTTTTGTTGTTTCATATAGAGTTTAGTTGCTGACAGAATCGAGATTTTTTTGCCTTATTGAGTAGATAGGTGAGTCGGCTGGACCAGAATGCAAAGCTGCTTTACAAGAGACTAATAAACTCTTGGAACTAGGGCTTAAAGTGAATAACAAGGCTGTGAAAGCTCTCTTCAATGCCACCGAGGTCTAGCTTTACTGTTTCTCTTTCTATTTGTTGAAACCAAACAATCCTGGAAGTAAAAAATCTGTTTCTAATATGTTTAAGTTTCTGAAATCTGCAGCTTGACGTTGATGCTGATTTTTTGTACTTGATAGCAGATGCAGAAGTTATGGCGGTATGCATGTTCATTTTATACTTTTATGATTTTCATTTTCTTTCTAGTTTTAGATGTTTATCTTCCAAGATTTTGGCAGATCCAATATGGAAACCCAGATAAACTATGTGTACCACTCGTGGAAGCTCATAAGAATGGTGGTGATTTAGTGGTAAGTTCTTTGTTTTTTTAGATCCCTCTTTGCTTATACTTGGTGTACATATATATGATCACTGATCATATATGCTAGAAGAACTCGTTTTGCATACTAAAGATTTCTATTTACTGATACATTATATGTGGTGTATAAATGCAGGAAGCATATGCTAAATATGTTAGAGAGTTTTGTGTGGGAGTCTTCGGGCTGAGCTCTAAAACATATAGCCGGAAACATCTGCTAGACACTGCGGTAACCCCAGAGAGTGCAGATAGGCTTTGGTGGTTCCAAGTTTGCACTGAAGTGGCGTATTTCCAAGTGGCACCTGCAAACGATAGCATCCGGTCTCATCAAATCAATACAGAGTACACACAGTCCCAAGCTTATATGCATAATTTTGTTTTTTAGCGTTTCTATTTATCGTCCTGCTTACTTTTCCTTTAATTTGATAGGTATCATTTGGATCTATGCAAGAGTCTGTTTGGGAAAGGTGTTTACCCTGAAGTCGATGCAACAAACCTGTACTATGGGAGTGATAGAATTGCTGGTATGTAATATCGGAAAACATCTCGTTGCTCCTCTTATACTTTTGCACATTCCAACAGTTTCTTCTTATTCTCAATTTTGCAGCGACCAAGATTATCTTCACAAATGGGTCACAGGATCCATGGCGTCACGCATCCAAACAGACCTCATCTCCTGAACGTAAGTCTCCATTTAGTTTGGTCGAAACCTTATAACATTAACTCCGGCTTAGTCTATCTCGTACACTTGCACTCAAACAAATACTTTCTCTGGGACACTAAGAAGTTTATGCTTGACGACACAGTGCCTTCTTATATTGTGACTTGTCACAACTGTGGCCATGGAAGTGATCTCCGTGGATGCCCTCAATCTCCCATGGTCATTGAAGGTATATTACCGGCCTCTTCTCTCTTTCCGATACCTGAAGTCAAAAGACGACAAGTATTGAAACAACTGTTAAAACAATTTAAATTTTCTCTCCTTGTTTTCATTCTCATTTTCAGGTGATTCCAAGAATTGCAGTTCACCAGATGCAGTGAACAAAGTGAGGCAACATATAGTAGAACACATGGACTTGTGGCTCTCCGAGTGTCGTGGAGGGATTAGGAGTTCCATGTAAAGTCACACGAACTGCGGTTCTGCAGATAAATAAAACATCAGATGTATGTTCCAAACTTGTATCTGTGTAACTGTAACCTCTGATAAACGTATCGAACTTGTCTCTACGGACCTAATGCAGTAGTTTACACGCAAGGACAATAGAATTACCGTCGAGCAATGAATTGAACAAGCTGTTTCTAATTTTCTATATTCACTCTTTAGTAATAACTAGTTAAATAAAATATAACAGGACACTGAACACAAATCCGTTGTAGTCTAGCTGGTCAGGATACTCGGCTCTCACCCGAGAGACCCGGGTTCGAGTCCCGGCAACGGAGACTTTTTTTCAATTTTTGGGCTTGACTTCTGACGACGTCGTTTGTGTTATTTTGTAACGAGTCAACAGAGTGAAGACAGATGTCTCCTGCTATTGGACCGGAAGGAAAAATAAAAACGGATGACTCATATAGTCACGGACTCATCTTTCTCGGGATTTCGATTTTTGACGGTGATCTGACTTTTTACGAATTTTTCTCTTCCATGTTTTTCTTTCGCTGATCGGTAAATCAAACGTTCGTTTCGGGTTCGATGGTGGAAGCTACGTCGAATTTGACGCCGACGCAGAGATATGCGGCCGGCGCATTGTTCGCGATCGCGCTCAACCAAGCGCAAATCAACCAAACTCAGCCGCTGGGAATCCCGGCGGCGGAAGACGACGACGGAGGCGATGAAGAGAGAAGAAGCAATTGCAGTAGCGGAGATTCTGTCTCCGATGACCCCAGCCTTTGGGTACACGAGACGTCTGGCCTTCTTCGACCCGTTTTCAGGTGATCTCCCGAAATCTCTTATCGTTGTCATCGATTTTGATGTATTGTTTCTGTGTTTTGGTTGAACTCATCATGGTTGATTAGTAATTGGCTTTAGCTGTGTTTGTAATTCGTTTCTATCCACAGATGTCTTGAGATTGATTCACCGGCTTGGCTTGGTCTCGAGCAAACAGCTTGCTCTTCTCCGGCTAAGCACCACATCGGAGCGGTATGGCTATTCCGTGGTTCGAATTTTGCGGTTATGGATCCGATATTCTTTGTTGAGTTAATTGTTCATAAACTTCTATTTTTGATTTCTTGTAGTTCACGAGGTTACTCTCAGAAGAGGCGAGTGATGCTTCTGTTGAGATGGTGGAGCAAGAGATGGCCTTAGCTAAAGCTGCTGATGCTATGGTGCATAGTATCCAAAGCTCTGTATCTAGAGATGCTAAGAAGGAGAAGCATCAGGAATATGAAAACGAATGCCGTGAGAAATATGCGGTTCCTGAGGTAAAATCAAAAGATGTGGATTTGGATAAAGAGAAGGATAAGAAGGAGGCGGCTGATAGTGCTGAGACAGAGAGTCTTGAAGCGGGTGTAGTTATTATAGATGGAAGCCACAAGCCTGAAGTTCTTGAAAATGAGAAATCTGTTGAGGAAGTAACATTGCTTAGCCATCAGAGGAAGATAAATGTTCTTTATGAGCTACTTTCTGCTTGCTTGTCAGATAAACATCAAGAGGATAAGAAATGTAAACGGCGTAGAAAAGGCTATGATGCGCGTCACCGTGTTGCTCTCCGTTTACTTGCGACCTGGTTTAATATTGAGTGGATTAAAGTGGTTCGTATAGTTATTTCTTCCAGAACAAGCTCATTTTGAAATTTAATGCTTTTACATAGAATCATTGTTGTTACGAATTAGCTATCTTGCTCTGAGTTAGGATATGGAACGGGCACTGCTCTAAATTCTAGTAGTTTTCATGTGCTACCATTTTCTTTGTTTTCTTTTTGTTTTGGCAGTTGTTTACTGAATGGTGATTTTGTGTTTCCTTTCATTGTTATAATATATAATATATTAACATTGAGGGATCTTCAATTTCTAGGAAGCAATTGAGACAATGGTTGCATGCTCTGCCATGGCTATTCAGAAGTCTGCTGAAATGAAGGGTGAAGATGCTCTGTCTCCTACAACTTCATGGGCTAAGTGGAAGCGTGGAGGCATCATTGGTGCCGCTGCTATTACAGGGGGCACTTTGATGGCCATCACTGGTGGTACGACGAATTCAAAGCATTAACCTTCTAAATTAGAGCGCATTTTGAATTGGTTACCTATCTTACATTTACATGATTATATTCAATAGGATTGGCTGCTCCAGCTATTGCTGCAGGGTTTGGTGCATTGGCACCAACACTGGGCACACTTATACCGGTGATTGGAGCTGGTGGGTTTGCTGCTGCGGCTAGTGCCGCTGGAACTGTTGCTGGCTCCGTTGCGGTTGCAGCATCGTTTGGAGGTGAATAAGAGTAGATGAATTCACTTTTGCACTATATGGATAATCAGTGTGCTTATGATTAGGCACTAGGTGTTTTGGCTTCTCTTTCATCTCCACTAATGTATTAAATTTTTGTAAGGAGCGTTTACAATGTCACTTATGCTTGGTTTTTTAAAAAAATTCGTATCCAGCTGCTGGAGCTGGTCTCACAGGGACTAAGATGGCAAGGAGAATTGGGGACCTTGATGAGTTCGAATTTAAAGCTATTGGCGAAAATCATAATCAAGGAGTGAGTTCCTATTTCCCTCTGCTGCTAGATCATTGTGACATCATAATATTTATATTTTGGAGTACGAAATATTGGTTATATTTCCTCTCACTTCTTTATTTGGAAATCTCCTTGCTCTGTGTTTTCCCTTTTTTGAGGGCCTCGTTTTTCACTGATGTGAATTTTTTTTGTGGAAATCAATGTAACAGCGGTTAGCAGTGGAAGTCTTGGTTGTTGGTGTTGTTTTTGAAGAAGAAGATTTTGTGAAACCATGGGAAGGGTTAACTAGTAATCTGGAGAGGTATATGTCGTGTGAGGACTTTAGTATCTTAATAAGGAAATAGAATTTAACATCTGGAGCTGCTCCTTGCATTAGCTTTACTCATCACGTTTGTGTCTGATTCTCAAAGTGAACTATACTTGCTTCTATAAGTCTGGTCTTTTACTATTCCAGGTACACGCTGCAATGGGAGTCCAAGAATCTTATCTTAGTGAGCACAGCAATTCAGGATTGGCTTACTTCAAGTAATTGGTTTTTATCCTACTAAATAACCATGTTGATATAAAAATGTCAAATTTCTAAGATAATTGTGATATTGTTATTATGATTTCCCCAGGACTTGCCATGGAATTGATGAAACAGGGAGCAATGCACACTGTGTTGGCCTCTCTTTTAATGGCATTGGCATGGCCAGCGACTATCTTAGTAGCTGCTGATTTCATAGATAGCAAATGGAGTATTGCTATCGATAGGTTACACCTTTTCCCTTGCTAAGTAGTCAATCTTTGAATAAAGATGATGCACCATTGACCCATCACATCTCCAACTAATGACTAGTTACTTTGAAACTTTGTGTTGGTTTTGCATTCGAACTAAATCCGTGACTATTATAATCTACTCCTGTAGGTCGGACAAAGCAGGAAGACTTCTAGCTGAAGTGCTACAAAAAGGCTTGCAAGGAAATAGGTATAGAGTTCATGACTGCTGCAATGAAAGAAATATAATTCTATATTGAAAAGTTATACATGAAGGATTATGTCTTGTGTTTGCTTATATTTCCTCAAATTTTGGGAATTCAGACCCATCACTCTAGTGGGTTTTTCGCTTGGTGCTCGTGTCATCTTCAAATGCCTCCAAGCTCTGGCCGAGACAGAACAAAACGGTATTTTTCCATCTGCAACATAGAAGATTGCTTTAAACGATTGAATCTGACTCGTAACATGTCTTTGGCAGCTGAACTTGTGGAAAGAGTTGTTCTTCTTGGAGCACCCATTTCAATCAATAATGAAAACTGGCGAGACGTAAGGAAGGTAACTAATTCTGTGAGCTTACATTACATTACCAAAACATGTCACATCTATGGAATCAAATCTTAAAAGAGATTTTGTTAAAAAAATTGATATCTCTGGTCCTGTTTGATAGATGGTAGCTGGAAGATTCATCAATGTTTATGCCACAAATGATTGGACCCTTGGTATCGCATTTCGGGCTAGGTACGTAACATACATTCCATTATTTCAATTTTTATTCTCTTCACCTAACAAACCAACTTGTTCAATTAATCCTAACTACGATCGTCCACAGTTTATTCTCCCAAGGATTAGCGGGAATCCAACCAATTCGTATCCCTGGGATCGAAAATGTAAGCCATCTATCTCTTTCTTTTGTCACCTCTATGTATTATCCATTAGTGAAACAAATAATTAGCTGATGGAGTGAATATTTAGTAAATGATTCTGCCAACAAAAAAAAAGAGATATAAGATCACTGTCAATAATTGTAGGGTTTTAATCTTAATCATATCATTTCACCTCTCGATTTCAACGTGTTACAGGTGGATGTAACCGATATGGTGGAAGGTCACTCTTCATATCTATGGAAAACTCAGCAGATTCTAGAAAGACTCGAAATCGACACTTATTACCCTGTTTTTAGAGACACACTCTAACGCAAATCAAATTAGATACGTATAGAGAACCAAACTTTTTCACATGTTTGAATTGTAGACACAAATAAAAGTCGTTATACTTATACGTTAGACATTATCTAAAGCAAGCTTGTATTTTGTATAAAAAAAAAAGAAAAAAAAAAGGCTTGTATTTTGTTTGTTTGCTGTAGTTGTCGTCTTTGGTTTTTCTTTTTTTTTTAACGTTTGTCGATGCCGGCGAAAGACGAGAACTGTTTTATTGTAATTATTTGTATGAAACGTCACATTGAACCGACATGGCTGACTATGGCCGTGTTTTAGCTGATCGACATATATGTCGGAACAGAAGAAAAAAGATAAAAGTTTGGAAGACTTTCATTTCTTTCTTTTTTTTCTTTTTCTTTTTTCGTTATTTGATATTAAATTATCATAATATTTTTAGACCAGTATATTTATTTATTTTAATTTTAAATACAATTTTCCGTGAAGGTTTATCTTTTGTATTTCACTCATCCAACAGGTTTCAATTGTTAGTTTATTTAATTAGAAAAGACCATTAGTTTTTATGCAATAAAAAATAGAGATAAGTTCTAAGAAAAAACAAACACTACATTTGAATTTCAGAAAATTAATTCCTATCGTCTCATGTGTAAGGGAATCCTCTTTTTTCACTACTACTAGTGGTCCATACAAGTTAAGAATGTATATATATATTTATAAAATAGTTAGAATATATTACAATGTAAGTATATAAGTAACCCACAAAAATTAATCACATATTAAATTCAGAAAATCAGCCTTGACAACTCATGTGGTTTGCTATAAATTTGTCACTTTCTTAACTTTGCCTCTCCGTGACAATAGTCTGTCGTGAAGAGACTACTACTTAGTACTTACCCGTTTATTATTATTTTCAACGTTTTTTACATAGCTATATACTTTTGTTCCAGACAAATTTATAAGATTTTATTTTCCTCGAATTGATGAAACAAGGTGCAATGTATCTGCTGATTTCATAGATAGAAAATGAAGTATTGTCGTTATTGATAATAGGTAACCAACCTTCTTCTCTATTTAACAGATTAATGAACTTCGAAATGATTAAAAACGAGGGAGCTAGTTAAAATTGAATATCTTAAGCCATCTCTTTCTCTCGTCATTCAATATTGAGAATACATAATTCATTCATTAGATGATGAAACAAGATTCGTTTCCAAGTGATTATTTAACTGATGAGCCATTGTCAAGAGGGTGTCAGATCGCTTTCAACTAAGACAATAATTGAAAGGTCAACGATGATTTTCAGATTGGTGTAAGAAGGTTTTAAAATCATATAGAAAAAAGTGAGAGATCCAATTATATATATACAACATTCACCTAGCGATCTCATCGTTACAGGGGAATATATGTGAACATTATGGTAGAAGGTCACTCCATCATATATATCGACAACGTAGCAAATCGAAATTTGACAAAAAGACGTACATGATTTTACGTAAGCTGGTTTTTGGTTTTTGGTAATAAGTATCGGTTTTGACCTATAACGATTCACACTTCAAATTTGACAAACTTGAGATATGCCCTTTTGTTTACTCTTAGATATTTATCTGGTATTTTGAGCTTGTTACTCTATTTTTTTTTTTTTTTTTTTTTTTTTTTTTTTTTTTTTTTTTTTTTTTTCTTGTTACTCTATTTGTAGTGGCATTTGTCGTTTATATTCTATTTTAAATCTTATTTTATCAGAGCGATGTGAGATTCTAACAGATCCGTATACTATCAAAATTTGGGATCTTCGAAGCTCACATTTTTACCAGGTCACATGTTCTGAAATTTAGACAAAAAAGGTCATTAATTGAACGTGGACATTGAGGGTTATTTTTGTTTGTTTGTTTGCTAATTATCATCGTCTTTGTTTGAACGTTCTTCGACGCCGGTGAAAGACGACAACTTCTGCGTTGTGATTATCTAAAACGTCGTCGTGCTCAATCAACCACCACATGTCACCCGTTTACGCTGACCTTGCTTCCTGGTCTTTAGCTACCGCTCTTGTTTCATTTTATTGTCAAAATTGAAAATGTGGATTTTGATGTTTGTTGTATTTATGTCTGGAAATAAAGTGGCAAGTTCGAGACTATTTTTTCAAGGCAACATTAGATTTATTTTAAATCGAGTTAACGTATTAATGTTTAGTAAGACTAAGTAAGATAGAGCTGAAAAATAATACACCTTACTTTCACTCTAACGCCCCTGTCTCGTGGGTCTCAATGGTCTGTGGTGCTTCACCACTCATTGTCCATCCAAATTAGAATAAATTCAACGGTATATAAATAAAAGCCAATATATTTATTTATTTACAATTACAACCATTCATCACAACATTTCTTTCAAAAAAATCTATTTCAATCCATCCATCACTGCATTTATTTCATAAAATCTAAGCGACCTTACCAAACAAAGTTTTAATGAATATGGGGTCGTATATGACTCAATGTCCCCTCAATCACAAGTACAGAACTTTATGAAAATGATCAAAAAAATATAAAGTCAATGTCAATTCTTTGGTGAAAATATTGCTATAACTTGATGGTTCGAGAAGCTGTTTTCTCTAGAAGACAAGACAAACCCTACTCGAACCAACCCCTTTGCAAAGCTGTTACATTACAGTCTTTTAAAGCTTTAAATGTTACGTTTGGCTTAGAGCTAATTTTAGCGAAATGTGCCTCATTCTTCACAACTCATTACTTGTCTATAAAATTGTCATTTTCTTATACCTACACCAAAAAAAAAAAAAAAAAAAAAAAAAGAGGCACCGCTATTTAGTTACAGTCTTAATTATCTTTTAGACATTTATTCGGTAGACATTTTGCTGGATACATATTTAATGCATTAAGAATAGTAAATTTAAATATACGTGATATTCCTGAGTCCACGTATAGGGTATGTTGCGTATGTGTATATGAATGTGCTACGTGTGTAGCTACGCAAAGTGTTACGAAGTAATTGTAATTTACTGATTTCGTCATGGTAGTTGAGGTTGTGATTGATACTTGATGCATTCGGGTTATTTATAAATGCATAGTTTTGATGCCAACTTTGACACTATCCATCTAGAAAATTTGATTATCGAGTGTTAAAGTTAAGTGAAATAACTACAAATTAAATTTTAAAAAGTAGAAGTTAGATCGATCTTTGTAAAATGCAAAATTATTTGTTGAAAAAAATCTTATTTTTACCGGTTACATTTCATTCAAGGAAAAATCCCCACAAAAGAAAAAAGAAAAAAAAGAAAAAAAAAAAAAAAGCGAAACAAAGAGCCATTTATGTTTTCATGAAGAACACACGTGTACATACACATAGATACATATAACATCCACAAATCCTGAATCAGGGCAACTTCCAACTTTTCACCATACCAAACCCCTGACACGTGACTCGAACCATAACTTTAAAGAGCACAGATGAGGCGCGTGGTCGGCACGGCGAAAAGACGCGTGGCTTTAGGAGCCGTGAGACCAAACACATCATTCATGTCGAGCTCACTTGGTTTCATCCCATCAGGTAATTTCCACGTGAAGCAATGTAATATATGAGCCACGGCTAAGTCAAGCGCGTATAACCCTAGTTGCATACCCGGGCACGATCTACGACCCGACCCGAACGGTATAAACTCGAAATTACTCCCTTTGAAATCCGGTACGCCCGGTTCCAAAAACCTCGATGGTCTAAACGTGTCCGGGTCAGCCCAAGAGGTTGGGTCGCGTCCTATGGCAAACGCGTTGATCATCACACGAGATTTCTTGGGAATGAAGAAACCGTCGATACTAGTGTCTTCTGCGGTTTCGTGGAGGAGGAGAGGGATCGGTGGGTGCATCCTTAGGGTTTCTTTGAGTGTGCATTTAAGATAAGTCAACTTCTCGATGTCGGCTTCTTCAACTCGTCGGTCAAGTCCTACAACTTCGGCGAGTTCTTGTTGGACCCGTTTTAGATCCTCGGGGCTCCGTAATAACTCCGTTAAGGCCCACTCTATCGCCGACGCTACCGTTTCCGTTCCTCCAAACATAACGTCCTAACAAATAAAATAAAATAAATTAAGTCACATTAGAATTAAATCTTAAATATATTCACTAGGTCCACTGCTGTCAAAAAAAAAAAAAAAAAAAAAAAAAAGGTCCACTCTCTTTTTTTTTTTGTCTCTATCCATTTTTTGTCTCTTCATTATTTTTCATATTTACAGTAGATCTGAATATTCATGCTTTTATATATAAAAAATTTCATGCTAAAATCTGTTGCTTTCTCTCGTAAAATAGAAAATTAACTTCCTAATTCAAACAAAATTAGTGATGAGAAAATAACTGGTTAATGGATAAGTATTATTCCGTAACGCATTAAGAATCATGACTATGACTAGTGCTTTTTGAAATATAATTACCATGATAATTGCTTTGATATTGTCACGGGTAAGTTTGATGGAATTTTGAAGATCCGCTGCCTCGCTCACTAATTTGGCTTCTTCACTGTAAAAAGCAAGAAGGTCATCAACCATATCGGTATCAACAACATCCCCATCATCTACAGCGTTTTGATTCTCTTTCTTCTTCATATGTTCATCGATGATATCGTCAATAAATCCGTCTAGATCATTACGGGCCTTCACGAGCCGCTTGTTAATCCCTTGTGGATCGATCCACCCGAAATAAGGTATGAAATCCGCTACGTTGAAGGCTCCAAAAAGCTTAGAGAACTCTTGTAAGATTCTTATGAACTCGTCTTGTCCCTTCTCGCAGGCTGACCCAAACGCTGCCCGGTAAGTTATGTTGCGGGTCAGCGCGAAAATTTGCTCCCCGACGTTTATAGGCTTACCTACAATTTTTTTGGTTAAATGTTAAAATACAGATCAAAGAAAGAAGAAATGAGTTTTTTCTTTTTACATATTTATTTCGAGTGAATATGCGAGGTAGCTTACCAACGTTACAAGAGACTGACCGGACCATTTTGTCCACTTCATCTCGAACTGAAGCCCATGACTCAGCTCGTTTACGGCTAAACACCTTCATGACACACACTTTTCTCATCTGTCTCCAAAACGGTCCGTAGTGAGCGAAAGCCATGTCTGCTCGGTCGTAAGTTAAATAGCTTATAGCTATAGTTGCAGGTCGGTTCGAGAAGACGCTGTCTTGGACTTGAAGGACTTGTCGAGCCACGTCGGGTGATGAGACAGCGTACATATGGAGGAATCCCATGCGGAGATGGCACAAGCCGCCATATTTCTTAGCTAAATTGGCTAAACCACGGTGGGTGAGTTGGTCCATCATTAACATGTTGCCTATGATGGGCCAACCTCGTGGACCGGGAGGATACGGAGGCCTTCGCCGCCGTGTTATAAAGCCGATGAAGATGAAAAGAGAGACGACGATGAGAAGAGCCGTTGTGGGATCTGATACTTTGCTTAGTGTTTGTGATATAGAAGACTCCATATTGGAGTTTTTTGGATTTGCTTCTTTTCTGAAATGTTGTTCTTTTGGTTGTGGAAGGTATCAGGAGGCAAAGTTCGCCATTTTGGGATGTGATTAGAGAGGTAGGTTTTATAATCAAATTGTGGTCCCTTTATTGACATTTTTGTATTATCTACTTAAATTTCTTCATCCATATGTATAAATACACCATTTAATATAATTAATTTGAAAATATGAAAATAAATAGTATACCTTTTAAATTTTTTGGAAACACCGGATCCCATTAAATACTTATGGGAATAAATAGTATACCAAACGGATTTTATTAAATTCGAGCATATATATGATGAATCATGATTGGTATTTAGTGGATTTTAAATTAGTGAACATAGCTGTTGAAAAATGACTGTATATGAGTGTATGACTGCTTGGCTAAAATAATGGTACGTAATATAAAATGCAGATTTCTTAATATATCATAATAATTATAAAACAAGAAATTTTAAAGTGGAAAAATCATAAAGTTTTTGACAAAATATAGAAACTCACCGGTTTTGAATTTAATAAACTAAATAAATTAAATCAAGACTTGTCACCAACTAATTTCTTATAAACGAAGAAAAAGAGGGGGGAAAAAAGTATAATAAGAAGAATGTCATCGAGATATTTCATACGTTTTTTTTTGTTAAAAAGGCTTCGAGATATTTCATACGTATATCGGTATATATGACTTTTCAGGTAGGGGTTTTTTTTCTTTTCGTAATGGCTTTTCAGTTAGGTTTAGATTTTTGCTTTTGGTATAATTTCTGATCAGTTAGTTTTAGATACAATACAAACTCAAAATTTCTTTTGAAACACAAAAAATAGCATCTTTATAACAGTAAAATTATTTGAATAATCAGCACCATATTAATAATAGCTGTAAATCTTTAGATAGAGAGAAGAGACTGACCACTAGCATTGAGTTACACAAAGTCGATCAGTTAATTACTATTGACTAATTAATATCTCTATATCTTAGACAGAGACTAATAATTAAGTTTTTTAATTATTTTGTCGCTACTAACAAGGTTCCTTTGGCATCTAATTAAACAATACACAAGACTTTGACCAACAGTTCAACTTACATTATCAAATTGAACTTATTATCGGTAAAATAACAAATGTTTTAAAATTAAACCTCAGTCTAACTAAAAACAATTAAAGACAGTTTTTTTTCGCCAACCAGTGGGCTAAAAAAACTCTGTAGCTTTTACAACCATCTTTCTTTCTTTTTTTTTTATCAACCTTTTACAACTATCTTGAAACGAAATTTAGAATCTGGAAAATATTTTGCAACTTAAGATATTCATAATGACCAAATTTTTATCCCTAAATTGTATAATAAGTTTTTCTTCCGCGATAGAATCATGAATTTGTTAATTCTAAGAGCATGTGCAGTGGGGAGTTCTCACATGGATTCTCAATAATAAAAAATATGAAAATAATAAAAAATGGGAGAGAGAAACCAGAATCGATTCTCATTTGAGAACATTTGAGAACCTTTGAGAGACTACCTTTACACATGTCAGAATATAATTGGTTTTTAGTTTTATTTTGTTATTTAAAATTAAAATAAATAACTGAATTAAATGATATGTATTAAAATAATATATTTGAGAGACTTGCAGAGTCTCTGTTCACTGCACATGCTCTAAGTTTCATCATACTGAGAGCATGATTAACAATGGTATCTTAAAAATGGTTCTTAGAAGTTTTAAAGTTAAGAACTCTTAGTTTTGGGTCTTAGCTAAGCCACTTTTCTTAGTTTTGGATCTTAGCTAAGCCACATTTCTTACTTAAGAACTCTTTAAGATACCCTTGTTAATGGTGGTCTGAGTTTCTATGAAGATAAATTAAAATAATATAGGAGAAAGTTCAAAAAACAATCAGTGCTACTAGTAATTAAGTTCGAGGTCATCTTAGTCATGCTCGTATCACGAGGGTGTGTGCATGTATGGTACCTGGCGAACTCTGTAGTTTCATGGAATAAAAAAAGTAATAAGACAATCATACGTTTCGAGACTTAATTATTAATATTTATTGACGTGTTCTGATTTCTTGGTCAAACTAATAACGTGCCATTTAAACTTATTTCACATTGATCTATATAATCTCATGTAAATTACGACAGAAATTGTTAAAGTGTACCCTTGGAAATTGGAATCTGGATTCGAAGTTTAGAAGGTTAAAAGTATGTGTGTCCTTAGCATTCGATCTCTGCTTACACCGATTTAAAAGGGTTTACTACCACTAAAAAAAATCTACATAAAATCTGTAATTGATCTAGAATTTGGTCTAATTAAGTCTAAATGTTCCAATCATTTTTAATGTCTTGTAAGGATGATTTTAGTTGGGGCTCTTTGCCAGGTTACAAAGTCCATTGTACTCGCATCCTAGGTGCAGAGATTCAGATGCCCGCCGACGACATTTATATATCTAGTGAGCAGTTACAGTTCCAACAAATTGTCTTTATTCTTAGAAATTGTTGTAACAAACATTTTTTTTGTTGATATTTTTAACAAACAGAGAGATCTTATTTTCTTGCTTACAACATACTACAGAAATTCGAATATATATAACAGAAAAATAAAAATCACTAAATTACAATGATTTGATAGTAAAAAGTTATGGACTATATATGGATCTATATTTATTAAAACTAAGACCGCTTAAACATCATATTATAAATATATGTGAGAAGAATTTTTTGCTGCATTTTGACCTTAGATTAAATTATAATGGTAACTCTTAAGTACTTAACTAAAGAGTACTACAAGTATTTAAAAAAATATATAAATTATTATAGTGAAATATCTACTTTGTGATTAAGGTCAAAACTAACATTTCATTGCATGATCGTAAATAAAGAAAAAAACTAAAATTTGGAAATTGCTCAGTACTAATTTAGACAGTGAACGTTAGAAACAGAAAAAATCTTTAAACCAATCATGTTTTCTTTACCGCCATTTATGATACATGGACAGGACCAAAGAAAATGTAAGGAGCTTAAAAGTAAAAAGAACCCAATTCAGTTTTTTAAAAGTATCTTTAGATGATAGTTCTATTAATTTTTCAAAAAAAAATGATAGTTCTATTAAGTTTTATAGTAAAGTAATTGTAATTTTAAAAAATTATGAAACAAGTATTTTAACACGTGAATGTTTTAAGTTCTATGTTTTAATAGTTTTTATAAATACAAACATGTAAAGATAATTTTTAGAGAATTTAGTTATATATACATTTTCATTGATTATTAGTTACAATAATTTGCTATGCTAAAAAAAAAAATGCTATGCTATAAATCTTATTCTATTTTATTTCTTCAGTTTTTTTTTTTTTTTTTTTTGTCGTCTTATTTCTTCAGTTTTATTATCCGCTACCTGCACAATTTGTTTTTTAATCTAACTACGTTTATTAATTAGTTTATTGCTCGTGGGACCATTTATAAGCTCATGACAATGATATGGATATCGTCGTTTCTAATTAGTCAGATCATCAGATTAACATACGCATTCGTGGCATCTTTTATAGCTATATTCCTAATTAAATCGAATATTATATTTTTTTTTTGAATTTAATATCTAATATTATATTTTTTTTTGTGTTGTAATAGTCATGTGTTCTTACCAACTTCATCTCTTTTTAAACTATTTATGTCTGTTCTTACCAACTTCATGTCTTTTAAAACTATTTAGTGACTGAAAATATATCAACCTAAAATTTTCTTTTCTTAGGACTATGTGCATATAATGTAAATAAAGTTTTTTAAATTAAAATTTAACATTCATTCAAAAAGGTACTTTCTCTTACTTAATTAAATTTGTTTCTTTCCATGAAAATGGTTACAAGAAAATACATAAATTGTTTTAGTTTTAGTCACTAAAACTATCGGTCTGAGACAAGTTCTTTGCGTATAAAGATCAACTCCTCTATAGATTGTTGAAGCCAACCGCCACTCGCAAAAAGACACAAATTTCCTTTTCATCTTCATAATAAAGGAAAAATCAAACCATCAAAAGTCTTTAAAACACACACTGCATATGTTCCCTTTATCTTATCAAGCCAACTTCCTCTTTTTTGATTAACACCCTTATTTAGTTATTTATTCAATATGATCAATACTTTTATTACCATGGACATTCAAAAAAATTTGTTGGAAAAACATCAGACTAAATTTTTTATTCGGATCTGACTGGTGATTAAGTTTTGTACAGTGCATTTAAATATATTTTATCACTTTCATAAAATACAATATTATTAAAACTTAAAAGTGATTTGAGTTTTTTTAATTTGTAACATTTTACCAATTGGAGGGTTAAATAACTAAATTTGGATATAGTTTTCCAAAACGAACGAGAATGGTGGGTTTTATTTAATATACATATATGTATGTTTAGCTGATATTTGCTCATATTCAGAAAAAAATCCTTTTTTATTTTAAAAGTATCAATTTCTATTATTGAGATTGACTATTCTTGAGGAATTTTTTATAATAATTTAGAACACATTTAAAATAAATCATAAAATAAAATAGTAAGAAAATCAAAGCTCAACCACTTTAAATTATAGGTAGCTGGCACAAACCGTCTTATTGTTTTGGATGGTTTATACCATTTATTGTTAACCGAATTTTTAACCGTCTCATCTAAATCTTTCAAAAAATAAGTTTTCTTGATTGGCTATCCATTAAAAATAGTTGGAGACTACTAACCAAAATCTTTATTTAAACCCAAATACTTAGAAGCCTACTGCATATTTTATTGTAGCAGTTGAAGTCGCTTCAAATATGTGTACATCTTCCTCCATCAAATTTAAGTTTGGATGTTGCTATCTTGTAAATATTCCCTCCGTATCATTTTAGATTTTTAGGTAATGTTCAAGAGATTTTTCTTTTATTTTAATTGATGTTTTCCATTTTTTATGTAAAAATTAAATATTTTTTGAACAATTATATTTTACAGCATGTTTTTTAACTGGTTGAATTCATTTTATTTAATATTTTTATGTAAAAGAGAGAAATTAAATGAAAGTTATGTGTTTTTTTTTAATTCATGTGTATAAACCTTAAACATCAATTAAAATGATACACAATGAGTATAAAATAATTTATATACACATACGTATGTGTGTGTATACAAGATGATATATAGTTAAGTGTATTATATCTTATATAATTAAATGATACTCTTTTCGTTATATCCCTCTAAATAATACTTTATGTAAACTACATTTTGTTGAAAACAAAAAACCTCCTAAACGAAAAGAAAAAGGAAAACAAAAAAAAAGCATTTGTGAAACTTTCGATTCCCACCTTGCGGGATGATGTAAGATTTTTAGGGAAACCCTACAAAGATTTTAAAAATGGTTGATAGAATAGAAAAATACAACCTAACACATGCTAAAAGACAACAAACTAATCGTATAGTTGACTACAAATTTAAGCATAGCAATTAAATGGTATTGACAGAACAATGTGATTCACTTAATTGTTGGTAAGTCTATAATTTTTACTTAACAGAAAAAGGTTTTAACATGCATTTAAGGTTTCTCTCCATGATATGCACTCGTAAGTCATTCACCCCATTTTTCCCACTTTCTATAGTTACGGAATTTGAGGATCCGAGAAACCTGAAAATAATGCACTACAACTTTTATATAGTAAATTTTTAAAATAATGTTAAAATAGTATGTATTCAGTAACTAAGGGGTAAAAATTAACAGATTGTTTGTTATAGATAATAAAATGGTGATTTTATCACTGTGGTTCAATGTTTTAGAAAAAAAAAAATCTTTCTTAAATCTTCTTGCCTTGATTTATTTTCTTCAGGAGTCTCATTTTCATGCTATCTCATGAATGAAGATCAATTGCAACACTAATGATTAATTTTACCATGGCAAACAGAGTAATATTTAATTGCGAAATTTACATGGAATTTATTTCCAAAATGAAAATATACTAGTCTTATAAAAAAAGTAAAAACTAAGGAAAAATTTTCCTCTCCGATTAGAAGGTATATATGGTTTATTTTCCACCATTCTCATTTGAAATACTCGTCTGAAAATTCATATTGTAATCCACATTATTTGTCTCATTTTCATGTATATATTCCTCTTCCACTACAATCCTAAGATATACCCGACAATTATGTTAATTATGTCGGAGTTTTAAAATATCTCAGATAGCTAAATGCAGCTTAAAAATTAAACCATATCGTTGTCAAGGAAAAATATTAGACTATATCAAATTGCAACTAGTACCAAACTATTGTAATTGGTTCACTTATGATAACATATAAAGATATGATTCACGATATTTCACATGTCCACATGCTTTTGGAAGTTTGGAAAACAAAAGATTATTATTGTATGATCGTATCAACCTTAAGTTATCGTGCCTGTCACCATGTGCTTAGTCCTCGATGCCTAATTTACTGCATACAGGCCTACATAACTACTACGACATAACTCACATAAGAGTTTTCACCACCTCGATGAGACCTTTTTTTCATATAAGATTTAAAAGTTTTTAAGTAGGATTTATTCCAAATTTGTACTTATTTGTACTTAAGTAGGATTTATTCCAAATTTGCGAACTTTATTAGGCTAAACATGTTTAACGATATAGTTATACCAAAATATATTAATTATACTTTTTAACCAAAAAATATACTTCTATAGTAATGTAGTTAACCATTTTAAATAATAAGTTAATAAACACATCGAACTGCATCTTAGTTCGTTCTTTACGTCGCCATACCGTCATCTTTACATAATTACCATTATAAAATAAATAACGATTATAATCTAAATAATTAAAAATAGACGGAAAAGAGTAAATAATTGAAATAAATAATGGAATATGGATTTGGGCCTATCATTTACGTCTCGGTGCGTTTGTGGTTTCCGTCACTTCACGCGTCTCCATCGTATTTTCTTGTCAGTGTCAATAATTAGAGAGCTCTCGTGTAAATGTTTTCACATTTAATTTAATTACAGTCTCCTATTTTTGTTCTTCGTACGAACTTTATTAGTCAGAGATTGTTCCTTCTTTGTTTTCCGATATTTCCTCTTTTATCCAAAACTCTTTGATGATTGATGAACTCGGCCTAGATACATCAGTAGTTCAGAAAACTACACCTCGTTAAATATCGAGACCACCCCGAAATTCGGATCTCTATCTATCAACTTTCAAGCCTTTGTCATCATATAACGTTTTGACCCAAATGAATTACCCAGTACTGAGAGCTACTGGGCCTAACAATTTCGGCCCATAATAGAAATTACTTGGACCAAATGAGACAGTTTTTATACTATCTTCAGATCTCAAATTACGTAATCCAGACCTCTTAGCATCAACACATTTTCCTAGCTCTGAAGTTTCGCAAACTCATTTCACTTTAATGAAACACTATTAAAACATATTTTTTTTCGTAGCAATACTTAGAAAGATTGATACGACAAGTGGTTTATTATCTTAACTCATCTATCATACTAAATAAAAGTTGTTATAGTTCAAAGAATATCTAGTTGTCATTATTGAAGAAATCAGTAATTGATTAATAGGCCTAACTGAGAGTTGTGTTGTTGATGAAGAGAAAAAGAGAGGCTGTTTCTAATCGAAACAAAACATCAAGAACGTAAGAATCGGTGAAATTAGCCCTTTTTTGGTTGAATGTTATTATGAAATTAGTTATTTTGATCGGTCTCAATGTAACATTTTGGTACTCCTAAAACAAGTGTAGGGCTATTTAGATCCAACCAACATCACAACGAAGGGTCTTCGTGTGAAGGCATTATCAAAATTGGATATAGCGTAAACCAAAAGAGAAGGCATCCCCATAAACAAAAAAAATTATTTCGTAGGGTACGTTAGACAACACCCTTTAGGCGTCCACATTACCTACAATTTTTTTTTTATCATATGCTCTTTATTTCCATTTATGATCAGTGTGTTTTCTTATGTTAGCAAAACCAATATATATGTCTTATGTGATACTTTTTTTATGATTCCACATGCATTATACGTCCCCAATTATATGACTATATTAATATTAATGCACAAGGACGTCAATTAATTTAAACACGGTTTTAATGCAAAAGGACGTCAATTAATTTAAACACGGTTTTAACTGCGTTTTCTTATATAAAGAAAACAAAAATTAGCAAGAACGAAGAAAAACAAAAGAAATGAATTTGATTAGCCTTACGAACGTAGATCGTGTATCGTGGACCATCTTACGCGTGAAGCAAATTTTTATAGTATGGTCATTCTATGATAGATAGCTAAAATGCGAATAAAGTTTTAATAATGAAAGAACCTATACTTATTGTAAATTAAAGGGAAATAATAAGTTGGTAGGTTCCGTATGGGAAATGCATGCGCGAGATTAATTAAATAAAATGTATAGGATTAACAGTCAGTTAGAGTGGTTAGAAACAGTATAAAAAGGAGAGGAAGGAGAGGGTGTCGAAGCATAGAAGTGAATATAGTTCGATGATCTATATTGATAAATTAAAATGGAGAGTGTAAGAGAAGGTTCATCATCAAGCTTGATGCTTTTCTTGTTCGGTCTTGCTTATGTTGTGTTGTTGCTAAGCTCAAACTCTGTTAATGGATTACGAGACCTAAAGGAGAGAGATGCAAGCGAGAGTAATTTTGTGAATGCTACTTCTTCAAGCGTTCTGGACTCTAAGAGTACTGTCAATATTTCGACCGTTGGGTTTGAAAATGTCTTAATTGGACAGAATAGTAATGTAAATAAGACTGGAGAATGTGAACAGCGAGGAGGAGGCGGAGGCGGAGGTGGAGGTGGAGGTGGAGGTGGAGGTGGAGGTGAAGCTACTGGATCAGGAAAAGGCCGGGGAGGTGGTGGTGGCGGAGGAGGAGGAGGAGGTGGTGGTGGCGGAAAAGGAGGAGGAGGTGACGGTGGAGGTCAAGGCAGTGGGGGCGGAGGTGGAGGAGGAAATGGTGGGAATGGAAAAGACAATTCCCACAAAAAGAAAAAAAGAAGCGGTGATGGTGGTGGTGGAGGAGGTGGTGGGGGTGGGGGTAGCGGAAATGGCTCAGGCCGTGGTCGGGGAGGTGGAGGTGGAGGTGGAGGAGGGGGAGGGGGAGGTGGAGGAGGAGGAGGTGGTGGTGGAGGAGGCGGTGGAGGAGGACGTGGAGGTGGTGGAGGAGGAGGAGGAAGTGATGGGAAAGGCGGAGGATGGGGATTTGGATTTGGATGGGGAGGTGGTGGACCCGGCGGATACGGTTGTTGGTATCCCGGTTGTAGTACTAAAAAGTCAACGGAAAGTCATAATTAAATCAGAGCAGTGATATGTCTTAAAGCCATGTTTTTTCACCACTACACAAACACACAATAGTTCCTTTGTTTTTTCCATTTTCCATGGCCTAAGACCACACTGATTTCTTTCTGTTTTGTAATATCTTGGGAGATTGTGCTTCGAATGAAAAACTAAATAATAATAATTCCGATTTTGTTTGTTGTCACTGATCTTATTTCCAAATTTGGCTAGTTATTTATAATGATTTCCCAATTCTTTCACTTCCCCACCAAAAGATTTGATAAGGACCCAGTAGTTGTGTTTTAATCAAATTTAACGTACAGTTGATATACGACAAATAAATATCATATCAGAAGAAGAAAAAAAAAATGTATATCCCACTACTAATTTCATTTAAGGATTTGCATTAGTATCCTTGAAGTACTCTTCTAGATAATTATATGATCAAATAACTATATATTAGTATGAAGAATTCTAAATAATTGTAACATAGTATAAAGTTCTAGCTATAAGGATTAAAACTAATAAGATAATTGTTTACAACAACTAAGTTGTTTGACCAAAACTTGTAATCCTATGGTCTGTACTATACTACTATTATTGATGATGTATCTTAAAATGGATTTATGTGACATATATTTTTTGTTGTGTCTTTTAAATTAGGATCGACAAAAATATTTAATGATATCATTGCTACACATTACACTTTAATCAGCAACAAATATTTAATACACCTTACACGTACTATTCCAAAAGTGCTACTTTATTAAGTTATGACTAACCTATGATTTCAAAACATATTTCTCTTCAGATTTTGTATTTTTTAAACCAGTCAAAAATATTATATAACACATTCTTACGATATTAAACGTTTGAAAAATAACTCATACTTTTGTTTTGACGTTAAAAATGAAAAAAAAAAAATTGTTAAACGGAATTAACAAAAGTATGCCTTTTTTTTTTTTTTTTTTTTTTTTTTTTTTAACAAAAGTATGCCTTTTTATAACTCGCTTTTTCAAATTAACGTCGTTTTCCCTTCAGTTAAAGCTGTTTTGAAAAGGAAACCCTTTTAAAAACCCTAAATGAAAAGAGTGTGAGAGGCTCGTCGTAAGCCGTAACGTTAATTATGTTGGTGTTGTGGTCACGAAAATTTGGGTTATGGTTGCGATTATATTTAACAAAAACTTTTAATGATCATGATTTCTAATCATACTCTATCAAATAAAATTGTTTCTAATTATAGCTTAAGTTCATAAATCTGAAAACAGTCTACGGATCTCTCTCTCATTCTCTGCTTACATAGATAGTTACATGATTACATCATGCATATCAAATTGTTAAAAATTTAAGATAGGAAAAAGAAACAGGTTAAACCCGACCCGGATACGCCGCTTTTATGAGTCGCAGCTCCAACACTTTCCGGTGAGAGTTCGAGTGAATCTCGGTGGTGAATGTTGGGCTACAAGCGGGTCTATATTCAGGTAAAAGCCGACCCGACTTAAACCGGACCCCACAAGCATTACACAATGTCTTCGCACCTAATGGACCCATTCTCCATTGAGGCGTCTTCTGGACTCCACAATGGCTGCAGCACCGCCTCGGCTGCTGCTGCTGGACTCCGCCACCGCCCGATGCCGCCTTCTGTCTCCCTCTCTTATTCTCTTTGGAAACGGCGGTGGATAGTAGAGGAGATGGAGACTCCAGAGACCAGATACGGCCGTTGGTGCGGCGGCGTTTGCTTCTAGGTTTAACCGGAACGCACTGTCTCTGAACCTCCACTGACGCGACTGGAGTCACCGGAAAATCACTGGAAAGATGAGATTCTGAGAAAGAATCCTCCACGAAGTTGGATAACCACTCTAGGTCCTCCAAATCACCAAACTTCACAAACAAAACAATAAATGAGATAAAAACAGAACAAAAACAGAGCAAAACAGGGTAGAGAGAAACAGAGTAAAAACAGGGTAGGTTGAAACAGAGTGCGCAAGTGGGCTCACTGGAACGTCGCGGTGAAAAGATAAGAGATCCTCCAGTGGTGAAAGACGGGTACTGTGGTCGGAAAAGCTCTTAGCTTTCTCACGTTCTTGTTCGTCTTCTTCTCTGTGAGATGAAGACGACTCTTCACGTACGAAAGCAGTGTCGGCGTTAGAGAGGTCGAGAAGATCGTCGACGGAAAAATCACCGAGAAATGCTTCTAGTTCTACACACTCCATTTTTGTCTTTGAACGTACGTATGAAAGCACTACAATTAATTTAAATATAGGAGGAGCGAATCCATATTTCAAAAAGTTTGTTCGTGTTCCAATATTTTTTACACAAATTTCTTTCTGTGTGTTTTCAAAATTTTAAATTCATTACGTGTCTATCGAGAGAAAGAGAGAGAGAGAGACAAGAGAGTGGAGAGTGGACAGAACTGATTGGGTTTGTAAGCAAGAGTGGGTTTTAGGTTTTTGTGATAAACATAACTTTCATTTTTTTTTTTTTAACTTGAATATAAAGTTGGAGGTTTTAAGCTGGCAAAATTGTAAAAATTATTTTGAAGGTATAAAGTTTGAAGTTGTTTTTTTTATGCAAGAAAAAATGAAAATAATGGAAATTATTTAAAAGGTTAAAATATAGTGGTATTCTAACGATCTAATGGCTCACCGCTCACCCTAATTAATCATGACCGTTGGAAGTGTTATTAGGCCAAAAAATATCGTCGGCAATACAACTTTCCGGCTTTCCCTATATATAAAGCTATTTTTCTTGTAAAGGGGATTTTTTTCGTTAACGTAAAAAGAAACTAGCAGCACACAAAAAAAAGAATTCAGTTGTATCAGTATTTTGATGGTCTTACGGAAAATTAAAAAAAAAAAAAAACTAATAATTGGTACGTCGAGAGTAATGATTGGAAAATATGGACTATAAAGTCAGGCTTAGCGGGCCCACTCGACCACCGTCGGTGGAAGGCCCAATGTGAAAAATGAAATTGGGACCAAAACAAACAAAAACGTTATTATTTCAGGGCCTATTATTTATTTCTTCTTTAATTTCAAGAATGGAAATAGTGACCATCACATGATGAGCGCGTGAAAACATTGCTCATGGTTAAATCTCTCTTTTTTTCTTTCTTGCTTTTGTTAGACAATTATTTCCATTAGAAAACATTGCTCATGAATCATGATACATTTCACGTAAAACATCATAAAACCAATAAAAAGCAAAGAAAATCTCTTATGATGAGAGACACACTCGAAATGTAAGATGAATGAATATGAATCATCTAGAGAAGCATAACAATCTCATATGAATACTAAAGCACTCATATATTAGCAAAATAAAATTCTCACAAAGTATACCATAACCTTAATTAGTGAGAAAAAATAACAAAGAGAATAACAAAAATTGAACCATTTTATTCGAAAGTACAAACACATACAATTTTGCTACTAAAGTTAATTTATCAGCAGCATAAACATATACAAATTACACATACCTAAATACCTAAACATACACAAACTTGCGTTTTGATTATAAAATACCTTTACAACATTTCCAACAATTGGGTGTTTGGTCTAGTGGTATGATTCTCGCTTCGGGTGCGAGAGGTCCCGAGTTCGATTCTCGGAACACCCCTGTTGAATTCTCTTACTGCTCTCTATCGATTCTTTTTACATGCTAAACTGGTAAAGTCACTGTTATATTTACATGCCCAATGGGCCGCATGGGCTTAATGCAATTCAGTCAAAAGTAGAATGTTCTTGACTGCGATGTATGTTGGCAGAGAAGTAACCGTACAAACAATCTTATGCTATATGAAATAATGATCGATAATTTTTTTTTTTTTTTTTGTGTGTTCACAATGATGATCGATAATTGGAGATTGTAAGCTTTGGTTGGGCTCAAGTCCTGAACCCTCGGATGGAAAAAAAAATACAGGTGAAAGTTTGAAACCAATATATCATTTTCTCCACAAATATCAATTTCTTGGATTTTGTTATTCCATATCGGGTTTTAGTTATTTGGACTATTTTCCCAACTATTTCCTACAGAAAGATAATTACAGATCTACTATTGGTCCCAAAATACGGTTCACTAAGACAACCTGTAATATAATTCAAAGTAGTAGTACTATTCACGTTTCAACCCACAAACTTTTATTGAACTTCCCAACCATATCTATAATTTAAATCGTATCACTCCACATTACATCATCTATACTCTAGTTTATTCGACATAAAAGCATATTAAAAAAAAAAAAATATAGATGTGAATTTGATAGTTGACAAAAAATATATATCTACTGTACATAAGAATTTGATATTTGGTACTGCGAAGCATTTAATGCCCGGTGCCAGTAACCAGACGTTCCGGACTATGTTAGGTGAGACAATGAATAGAGACACATCAATAAATGTCACCGATTCGTATAACTTCAAATATAAAGTATTTCTTGAAAAAATCTAACATGTGAACTAATGAAAATCTATCAATTACAACATTGAATTCAACGATATGGACTCCCATCTTCTTGATAACGATCTTCAAAAGTAAGACAGCAAACACATTTAATTTTTTTACCTTATCATTCCCCAACTAGTTTCATTTTCCACTTTTAACCATCACCCTATACGTGGTTATAAATTATAACTTGAAATAGAAACACTCTAGCTCTAAAAGAGGCAACCAAGTGAAACAAGATAGCGCTTTTTATAACCAAACTCTGCTTCTGAACAGAGTTAGTCAGAGAGAAAAGCCATGGAAGGTATGAAGGAGACGGTGGAGGAGAGCTTGAGAGAGATAAGAGAGACGTTTGCTAGTGGGAGGACGAGGAGTCTGAAGTGGAGGAAGGCACAGATCGGAGCTATATACGAGATGGTTAAAGACAACGAAGACAAGATCTGTAGTGCTCTGTTTCAAGATTTGGGTAAACACAGTACTGAAGCTTTTAGAGATGAGCTTGGTCTTGTCTTGCGATCAGCTACTGTTGCAATCAACTCTCTTGATAAATGGGCCGTCCCCAAACATGTAAGAACCAACACTAAGCATATTGAAATTAGTCTGAATATCGGTTTAGGTTTAGGAGATTAGATTATCAAGAAGTGTGCAAGATTAAAATCATTTTATTTGGTTGGATAATTGTGTTTTTTTTTTTTGGTTCTGAAAAAACAGAGCAACCTTCCTCTGTTGTTCTACCCAGCAAAAGGGAAAGTGATATCGGAACCGTATGGGACGGTTCTTGTTCTGTCTAGCTGGAATTTTCCTATATGTAAGATTCGGATCTTGAATTAGTTTTTTTTTAAAGGAAAAAGAGTTACAATTTTGAGATTTTTTAAATTGTCTTTTATCAGCCTTGTCTCTGGATCCATTGATTGGGGCAATAGCAGCAGGGAATACCGTGCTTCTCAAGTCATCTGAACTAAGCCCTAACGCATCTGCCTTCCTTGCGAAGACAATCCCGGCTTATCTCGATACTAAAGCCATCAAAGTTATCGAAGGAGGACCTGATGTTGCCACTATCCTCTTGCAGCATCAGTGGGACAAGATCTTCTTCACCGGTATCAATCTATTCACCCCTCTACACTCGATGATTTGCTTGTAGCGGCGGAATTTGTGTGATGATGTTGATGTTGTTTGCTTGTAGGGAGTCCCAAGATTGGAAGGATCATAATGGCTGCAGCGGCACAGCATCTGACTCCTGTGACATTGGAGCTTGGTGGAAAATGTCCCACTATTGTTGATCATCACACCATTTCAAAGAACATCAAGGTCTGCGGTTTGCTCTGTTTTTCTTACCTTGCGATTTGATTGCAACAAAAACTTCTGATCGTAAAAGTCCTAATATTTGAATTATTGGTGATGATATAGTCGGTTGTGAAGAGGATTGCTGGAGGAAAATGGGGATCTTGCAGTGGACAAGCTTGTATCTCTGTAGATTACGTTCTAATCGAAAAGAGTTACGCGTCTTCTCTGGTAAGTGAACGCACACAATGCAAACTCTGTTTCTGTAGGATTTCTAAAAGCTTGGTGGTTTTCTGTAGATTGATATGTTGAAGCCTACGATAAAGTCTTTCTTTGGGGAAAATCCTAAAGAATCTGGATGTCTCTCAAAGATTGCAACAAAGCAACACGTTCAGAGACTGTCTCGTCTTCTTAATGACCCTCGTGTTCAAGCTTCCATCGTCCATGGGGGTTCCATAGACGAAGAGAAGCTGTACGCTTTAACTTAATCCTGTTTCTTGGATCACACGAAATCAGTTCTACAAGTCATTTAACCTATATTTTTTTAAAACAGGTATGTTGAGCCAACGATCCTGTTGGATCCTCCTCTTGATTCTGAGATCATGAATGAAGAGATCTTTGGTCCAATTCTCCCGATTATCACTGTAAGCATATTCAATGTACACAGTATATACATTAGTAAACAATCAACTAATCGTTGTTGATTTTGTCTATTTCCTCCAATGTAATGAAGGTACGTGATATCCAAGAAAGCATAGGGATCATTAAGACAAAACCGAAGCCACTTGCCATTTATGCATTCACAAATGACGAGAACCTTAAAACTAGAATCTTGTCAGAAACATCGTCAGGAAGTGTTACCTTCAATGACGTCATGATCCAGGTATATATAATATATGCCATATTAATTCGTATATTAGCTCAAAGTCCCTAGTTAGAAAACCGAAATTGGCTATGAGTTATATTTATCAAAGAAAGAATAGAACTTCAGATCTTGATAAAGACTCATTGTGTGGTTGAAGTGTTTTATCCATTTCGATTTTGTGTTTAAATTTCGGACTATAGCGCATACAGTGAAACACTCAAAATATAATTGTTCTCATGTGGTTAAGTTTTAAATGGATATGCAGTATATGTGTGATGCGTTGCCCTTTGGAGGAGTAGGAGAAAGTGGAATAGGGAGGTATCACGGGAAATACTCATTCGATTGTTTCAGTCACGAGAAAGCAATTATGGAAGGAAGCTTAGGAATGGATCTTGACGCTCGATACCCTCCATGGAACAACTTCAAGCTCACCTTCATTAGACTTGCATTTCGTGAAGCGTACTTCAAGCTTATCCTCCTTATGCTTGGTCTCAAAAGATAAAAGTGGGAGAGTGAGAGAGTGAGAGAGACACACATACACACGCACAGACGATATAAGTGATTGAATTATATATCACACTTATGTTTGCTTTTCATATCTTCCTTCACCTAATAAGTCACATTCCAGATGTCTTACATTTCATTCAAGCTTGAGATATTCTACGTATAAAAGTAATTTTGATATCTATTACCACGGAATATGTTATTAGTAATTGCGGTATATTTTTAGTGAAAATTTTAAGATTATTCATAAAAAAAATTTAACTGCGAAACACACAGATTATCACAAAATTCCCAAAATATAGTCTTAATTTGGTGAATTAGATATCACGTGAAATGATAGATGAACCAATGGACTATTGTTCTTATAAAAGGACCCACCCACCGTATACTTATAGTCTTATATACGCACGCATACACATTGGATCATAAAGGTGTACGTATGCGTGTCTTGTCCAAAGAAAAAAAAAGAAAAGAAAAGCTGATTGAAAGTATGCATGGGCACACACCACAATAATAGGTTACTGCATCACTGAGCCAGTTTCTTTCATCCCCACCCTAACTAAAGCTCTATCAAAAAACCCTAGCTAGCTTCTCTTTTTTTTTAACCTATATCTATTTATTTAGTTTTTTTGGGTACGTCGTCCTTACTTTGCCCCTCTTTATCTCCAATCTCTGCAACATTCCTCATTAATAATTTCATCTTTACATCTCTCCCTCTCTCTCTCTTTGGTTGTCTCTGTTTGTGTTTTATGTATCTTCTTGAACTCAATTCCAACCAGAAACCATATTTTTTATAGTTGTGTCGTTCACTCTTGGAGAGTTGAAAAAAACAAGGAGGATGGTTGACTTGCAATTCAAGGCACGTTCCCGAGGCTAAACTACGTGAAATTCAGGTGATCTAATCGTTTCTTGTTTCCCCTTCTTGAATTTTTTGGTTTACAAAAGTGAACATGTCATATATGGATAATATTACATAGTAGTGTCTAATTTCCCGGAAATTAGGATTGAGTAAGCTAAGTACACATTGCTATGGTTGCCAAATTCCGGGTGGAGAACATGTGCGCAAACAGAATAGCAAGAAAAGGTTACATATTTTATGAGAGAGTCATTTATATGTTGATATAATAATTCAATTGATAGTAATGCGCATATTTCGACCGATGTTAGGCTATACGAAATATGATTACTATACTTAGTTTTTTTCTGTTAGAAATTTATCAAAATAACGGATCCATCAAATCTTTGGTATTAATTGTACTCATAGATTAATGGCGTTAATTGGTGTGACAAAGAAGATTAATGTTTGATATTCGATCGATTCACCATAATATTTATAAGGTGAGTAAAACTATCAATCTGATAAACTTTTTTCTAAGCATATATGTATGCCTTTGAGCACCTCTTTATTTTACACTTGATATATAAGTCTTTTTTTTGCTAAGAGACTTGATATATAAGTCTTACTGGACTACATAAACAAACAAACAAAAAAATTATTGGATTAGAAAACCATGATTCTATAGCTGGTCTTGCGGGGGAAAACATACTAATTAATTAGGTTTTAAGATCATATCTATCTAGATGATTAACATTTAGTTAACTCTAGGAAATGTTGTATTGGGAGATATTTTCAGTTACTCTTACGAATAATTATTTAAATATAATAGTAAGCTCTAAAACTAATTGTTTTGTTTTCTACCATAGGCACGTTATGCAGTAACGTACGAATTATATAATTAATCCACGAATTGCTTATATATATACATTCGTCATTTATTCTTCAAACACCAATTCATTGTGAATATGTTTTAAAAAACTTTACCCTCATTTGCTTTCCTGTCGTTGTCACTATTTAATTCCCTCTAATTAATTTACCTTCAAATCTATATAGATTAACTTTACAGTAACAATATAAAATAGTTGATACTATATATATGAAGATATAGTTCTGAGTATCTAAATCATGTAGGCTTCATTAGACCTTATGGAAATATTATAGTTTATCCAATATTATTATAACACAAGAAATTCCTCGAGTTTATCCAATGGGGGAAGCAACCGGCAACGTCGGCATAAACATGGGGAAAAAACGTATCGAGAACCAAAAAAAACTTATTTGCTTATATAAACCCCCAAATACGAAAATTTATGATAAAGATTCATTATCCGTACAATTTAAATATTAAATTAACACACATTATACATAACAACAAACAGACGTACAAATGTTTATCCGATTTGCAAAATCGTCCAAGTATTGCATATGAAAACAAAAGACACATTACATATATAGAATCACTATAAAACAAAAAACAAAAAAAAATCAACTCGAGTTCTTGATTTAATCAAGGTCTTGGTGGGTTTTGATAGAATTGCGTACCTGGTGGCATGAACACACTAGTCGTCATGTCACTTGAATAGTAACCACCAGAATTAGGATCTACAAACATAGCCGACGATACTCCTCCCCCACCGTCGGTCACAACGGGAGGATGAAACGGATTTCCTCCTCCTCCGCCTCCTGCGGATGAACTTTGATGATCGCTTCCTCCACTACCGCCACTCATGTAGCTGCTCTCAGGGCCTTGGTCATACAGAATTCCTTTGAAGAGATGACCTCCAATATTGACTGTCGTTTGATAAGCGTATTGACCATCTCCTCCATCATCTACGCCACTCATTTTAACACACCGAAAAAGCGCATCTGAGCTGACTTCCCCCGGAAAACTTGCCTCCCCCATTTCCAACCCTAAAAACATACATACACAAATACACATTATGTTTCAAACACTTCACAACAAAAAATCAACGTACACAAACGCAAGATTATTGCGTTTTGTGTTTCATGTTATATTATATGTGTTTTATTTCAAAACAGAACACAACATTTTAATGTTTTAAAATTTCAGTTCAGAACGAAGTTTGATTAAAAACAAATATACAATGTTGTATATTTTAAAGGTAAACAAAATTTGTGTAAGTGGTGAAAGGAAAATTTAACTCACAAATATTTGTGTGTTAAACAATCCGTGTTTCTTCTAACAAAAACATATGGTTTGAATCTGAAGTTGTGCGAATCTCAAATTGTTTATTTAGACAAATAAAAAAAACAAAACCTGCTGAGTCGGATGGTAAGCGAGAAGAGGAGGATGTTCCTGGAAGAGTAGTATCCCTGTGGCGTTTGGGGATACTCGCACCGCCGCCTCCACCGCCACCACTACCGCTTCCGCCGCCACCTCCAGATGTGGACATATGAAGCTGCTGTTGTCTCTCGCGGCGTCTCGCAACGGGGATCCACGTGCTCCTAACGTGAGTGGAACAATCGAATCCACGGCTCTTACAGCAAGTCCTGCAACGCATGTGAGTGCAGTCTTTCTTGGCTTGGTTCCCACAGTCCCGACAGCTTATGGTGATGGATCTTGATGAAGTGGCTAAATCAGAGACGTCGATCTGATGACCTGGATAAAGATCTAAGCTTTGTTGTTGTGGATGTGGATGTTGATGCATGAGCATCTGCTCTGGTGGAATCTGCCATACTTGTTGGCTCGAGCTTGGGTTGATATTATTGGTGTTTGCGTTTGATCTATACCAAACCCAATTTGTCTTTTGTTGTTGTTGATTTTCTTCTTCTTCGTCTCCGTTGTTGTTGTTGTTGTTGTTGTTGTTACCTCCTAATGAGAATATCCCAGCCATTTTTTAAGACCTAACACTTCAAACCCTAATCTTGACCCAACAATATCCATAATTCAGAAACCCTAATTACCATGAAATCCTTATCCTTTTTTCTCCTTCTTCTTCTCACTCAAATTCAGCCTTATACTCCCTTGTGGATGTTTTTGCTCTTCGAATCTAAACTCGAATGTTCTTCAAGATCTCTCTCTCGGAACAAAGTGTGTTACTTGGTAGTGAGTAGTTGAAGTGAGAGAAAGTAAGAAGAAGAAAAAGAAACAAAAGAGAAGAAGGAAAGAAGAATTTAAGCTGTCTACTTAATTATGAATCTTTATTTTCTCTATAAATTTCTGCAACGCCGCCATGGGCGGTTTTTAGCTTTCTCTCTCCTCTGCTCTGCTCATCCCTAGAATTTAAGACTATCTCTCTCTCTCTCTCCCCACTACTCTGATTTGGTTTTTGCAGATTCTATGAAAACCAAAGTGAAAAGCTTTTCTTTCCCCTTCTCACTTCGGCTTTGTCTGAACAAAACGCTTCTAGTTCTGTCCGTATGAGAGTAAGAAAGGATTAAACAAAGACTCTCTCTCTCTCCTATCTCTTCTTTCTCTCTCTACCGACTCAGAGTTTCACACCCACGGGGAATGATCCACCGGTCCTAGCTTTCTTGTTCTCATCTCATGGACTAGAGTTTGCCACGTGGCGAATGTGCTTAAAGCTTGTGTTATCTTAAGACGAAAATTTTCAATTCTTTTCTTTGAAGTTAGCATACATATTTTTTTGTGGTTATATAAAAAAAAAGAAGCTAGCTCATGTGTCCGTACGTATTAATGAACCGTATTCATTTATGATAATTTGAAATCCCACGCGATTAGAAGATTTTTTTTTCTTTTTCTTTGAGAATATCTCTACCGATTAAATATATGTTTTATGTTTAATCTCAAAGCATAGTAATTGCTCACCTAGATGCCTTAGGGTTCTCTCTTGGATCGGATTTAACAGAACGTTAGTAGCAATTTCTTGTTTTGATTTAACAAAAAAAAAAAAAAAAAAAATTCTTGTTTTGTTCATATTTTTAGGAAAGTATAATGTTACGTATTCATACATTTACCCTAATTAAGTTATGCCAAAAATTTCATCAACATTAATCATTGATCAACTTTCAAATAATCTTGGGACATTTATTACCATTTCCACAGTACGTAAAACGTGTGAAAATACTATATTCATAATAATTTTATTTTATTTTTAGTTCATAAAAGTTACTATTATTTTGTATTCTCGATGTAGATTTTAAACACAATGTATCTCTCTTATACGTAAAAGATCATTAGAATAGTTAGACTAGCGAAAAACATTTGCCGTTATTAACAAGTCTCCAATTCTTGCATTTCTTGTGTAAAAAAAACAGTATAGGAGTTTGAAGTACGTGTACATAAATTTAGTAAAGCCATATTTAAATTTTTCTGAGGTAACTAATCTTGTGATCAATAAAATATTTCATAAATCAGATGTATATAGCCCAATCATGGTAGAGTGGTAGATAATCTACACAAGAATACGTAAATATACAAATTAATCATGTTGTGCTATATTTTGAGTAAACAATAGATCTTATTTTTAAAACAATTTAAAAACATGCCATTCTAACAAAAAAATCTTACATGTGAAAATACATTAATGGGAAAACGTCACTAGTGTCCAAATTGGTGACTAAAATAAACTCACATACGTACTAAACAAAAAAAATTATTACGTGTTTATTGGGAAAATTTTACATGCATAATAACCAAGCTCTTCCAATTTACTGCCAATTTTTCCGGTAACTTATATATTTAAATATTCGCAATAAAAACATTCAACTATTCGGCTAGTTACCCTTTATAAATCATTACATAAATCCATGTGTATAAAATCATTAAGAATACACTAATAGCCAATAGTGTATAAAATCATTCACCATGGAATATAGTTTATGAAAACAGAGAGATTCGGGGCAGTGAAAAAGAAGCTCTCTTTTTATTGATTGTAGCAAATGATCATATTTATATTCGTTATCGAGTGATTTGAATAATTAAAAAAATATTACAAAAAAAAAACGAGAAAATATGAAAAAAAAAGAAAAAAAAAAGCATGTTACTCTTTGGACTCTATGCGGCTATACAAGGGAACACTGCGCCACCTACGTGTACTTTTTTGTACTCCTTTCTTTTTACCGTGAATTATATATAACATAAAAGACGAAGCAAAATAATTAATGTAACAAAATTCGGTATTCGTAGTTCCAGCGGGATTATGGTTTCTAATCGTACCAACTGTAGAGAAGAAACTAATGTATCTTACTCTTGTCGTTAGCCGAGAAGAATTACGATTGGTAATATTTATCATCAAATTTGCGAGATAAGATAACTTACATAATCGTTTAACATACTTGAATTCCGAATACTAATATAATAAATCTGAAGTATTTCTATCCAATATTAATTAGTTGCATATGATATTCGGTATCTGAAATAAATAGTCTTTGTTTGAAATGTTGTGGTAGACCAAAAACCTGTTGGATTTTCAAGATCCAGAAAAGAAAAACAAAAAAAACAAAACAATCAAAGTCATTTTTCAATCGGCCCATATAGAACCGGCGTTGTCACCTCCGAATCCAACCAGGAACATGTACGTATATCGTTTTTGTTTTGGTATATAGAAGAATTAATAGTGGACTCGTACCACATGATGATCCAAGGTCGTACCAAGTTTGAACTCTTAATATTAAGATTTTTTTATAAAACCGGCTTTATCAAGATCGGACCGATCCAAGTTAGTCCAGTCCCAAGGTTTTGGAAAGAAATTGTGAAATCTAATTATTATTATATAAATAAGAAAAACAAGAAAAAAAGAGACAGAGAAGGGAATGATAAGTGGGAGAGGCCCGAGAAAAAGACGTTCAGTGTCGCTCGCTGTCTGTCCCTTAAACATGTCGAGAGGTCTCTCGAGCCCTGTGTGTGTGTGTGTGTGTTCGTGTTTGCCTCTCCTTTGCGTTGACTCTCCTTTTGTGTGTTTGTGTGTGTTATTTTTTTTTTTTTTTTTGTGTGCAACCAAACTCTCTCTTTTTCTTCAAATAATTTGATTTCTATTAAAATATTTTATTTTGTTTTTATGTTTCATGAATAAATAACAAATAGTGTCCCTTGGGGTTGGGGGTGAATGGACGTAAGCCAAATAAAAGCTGATGAGATAGTGAAATATATATGGATTGTAATTAATAATCAAACTACGAAACTAGAAAACAAACAAAGGAAAACCACGAAACTCTAACTATATAGTCAATTTTAATACATTAAATGAAATTACAATTTATGTGAAGGAATAAGGGAAAATGAAAGATGCCGTGACAAAGAAAAAAAGGAAATTAATAGATGGAAGAATAAAACAAGAAAAACAATCGTTTGTAAGTGTATTCTCTAGAAGGTCTTAATTATCGGATGGTTGCTTCATGAAAGGAGTACATCGGAGCAAATGGGAACAACAAGAACGAGACAATAATGGGGAAGAAAATGAAATTGTATAATAATGTAATGGCTGTCGTTTTCTCAGCCTTTAAATGTGGCTTTTTGTTGATAATAACATGGCATATTTGAGTCTTTTAGACAAAAAGTCTAATCTATTATTGGATATCTACATCAACCATATAGTTAAGAAAAAACATTATAATAGTTATGCACCAAACTTAAAAGTATATATCCCCTTCACCATTCCGATTAAAATATATAAGATATTGCTAACTATATCTTTTGATATCTTTTGTGTGTTTGCATATTGGATATCTTTTGTGTAGATGGATACGTAAAATATTCACCTATACATTCGTCTTTACATGCTAAAATATTATATTTCTACTTTTTAAATGCATTATACTTTTCTAATTAGCTCTCTTATAAATCCTAAAAGATATTGCTACATTTGCGTTTCACGTTTACGTCAAATTTGTTTGTTAAAGGGCTTCTTAACATTTACGTTTTTTTTTTTTTTTGCCGTCTAGATTTATTATTTATTGCAAATTATGAGAACTTGTTACATAGACGATTCTACAACGGACAATTCCTTCCGACCCTTATTAGATCCACGCCTACGACACTTCCTTCTTCATGCTTGATGGACACCTTCAATGACCACGACCTGACGACACTTCCCTCTCTGCGTAAAATCCTGGCGAACGGCTATAATTGTACATCGTTGGAGACCTCTTGCACACTTGCCTCCATTAATCTGCAAATTTGTTAATAAATCGCAATATCTGGGACTCGAACCCCAGACCTCTGGGTGTAGAAGCATTAATTAACCCTTAGTCAACCAATGGGCCAAGGGGGCTTCCACAAACATTTACGTTAAGAATGATTTTTTTTTTTTTTGTAAAACTTAATATATAAACGTAAACACGAACCGAAAGTTTAATTAACTTCTCTATGATACTTTTATGTTTAATCAAAACCCTCTGTGGGCATGGATATAAAGTTATAATTAAAGAGCTACGGATCTTTGCTCACTCGATGATCTAATAGGGCAATGAATGTTGAATTTTGACTATAGTCCATGCGTTGTTAGTGATTGGTCGGTCGGTCCATATCTTATTGTAATGATGTGAATTGTGTTTTTTCACTCATTATCCATTTCATCTAATTGGCATGCAAATTATTTTTCTCTAAGACACAACAAATAATTGACTACAGAAGAAGATTCCACTGCACATTTACCTCCATTGCCCATTTAATGACTTTTTTCGTTTAATGAAAATTGAATTAGGCTTCTGTAAGTGTCCCCACTCTATGAAAATTAATTTAAAGTCATACTTTTTTTGTAACAAAGCAGGACCACTTCTTCTTAGTCGATATCAAGTCTAGTTAACTCTGAAAGAGAATTTGGTTCATACAATCTGAAGTTATGATTCTTTAAGTAGAACTATTTCCAGAGACTTGCGTTAGATCCTAACTGTTTTCCTGACAGATCCATATATATATGTATAAGCAAAATTAAACTAGTGTTCTTTTTCTTTAGATTCCAGAGAGTACTATTAACGTTTTTTACTAAACTTGTTGCATCTCTCTCCTCTTAGCATCCACGAGCAGTGCAAGTCTTGCACATTTACTTTTAGTTTCTTCCAGTTCCTTTTCTAAGTTACTTACCTGTTTCATTATCCATTTATGTCTATGTTATAACCGATGTAACAAAATATGTTTGTCTGGTTTTGTATCGCTGCATCAAACTTACCGTCTGTTCCATTTCAGTCTCTTTCTTTACATATTCCTCGCACCTGATGAAGAAAGAACACATCGAAATTGATTGGGATTCCAAATGTGATAGCTGAATTGAGTTTCTTTCATGTTGTGTGTATATACCTCATGAAGAGTTGCATGTTCTCTTCGCTTATCTCATCCGCTGACATGCCAACGAGGTTGTTTTCAGTATCCTGGGAAGATATTTCACTTACAGTAGCTGCAGGTTGAGGGTTGAGCTGCACTGGTTGGAAGTTACTTCTTAGACCCGCGGAATTTCTCAAATGTGGCGCTGCAACAGCAACTGTACGGCTTGAAGTGGCATTACTAAGACTGATTTCACGTATTATCGGACCACCTTGACTGATTCTATCAGAAGGCAAAGGTAAAGGATTGAATGTATTCACAGTAGGCGGTTGATCACGTATTGCTATCTTTTTCGACTTATCAGTAGGTGCAGGCACTTTATAAGTATTGTATCCAAAAACGTGGACATGGCTCTGCCTGTTTTACACCATAACAAGCAGTGGAATAGTCAAACAAAGATATTGCGATTTGGAACCAAAATCATATTGATAAAATGATGAGATGATTCGAAAAGGTTTTGGAGAGGAAGAAGAGACCAGTAATCACCGACAATCTTTTTCAACCTCGCCTCCAGCCGCTGAAATAGAGACGACCTCTCAAAATCTTGCTTATCATGGGCTGGTTCTATGAAGTTTGCTTCAAGAACTCCTGGGGAACAGAATTTTGGTTAATGAGTCTCTGCTCCAGGTCTTTACCTCAAACAAAACATATTCAATGTAGTCATCAAGGAAATGAATCACTATACCGACAACACCATGGCCAACCGATGACCCGTCCATAGTGACCTTCCAGAAAGGCTGTAATCATGCAAGAGATATCAACTTAATCAAGCCATACGCAAAGCTTGGCGCTTAAGTGACAAATATTCTACCAAACCAATCTTATATTATTCTATTAATCATTACTTTCTAGTTATATAAGTCTGGTTTCCCTGAATTGTAAGGTTCCAAACTTACTACACTTGATTCTAAAGATTATCCAGATCATGGAATTGTCTCCTATATAAAAGCGTACCCGGATGAGACGGTTTTTATGATAAACATTGTAACCACAAACTGCAAGCTTAGGCCCCTCCTTTATAAATCCAACTTTGATTTTAGTGGTAGCCTGTAATAAGAAAGCTTAGTGGGTTTTTTCGCACAACCTAAACCAAGAAATTAGAATAATGTGCACACATGAAAATAAGCCAAGGCTCTCTGTATCAAAACCAGGGAGTAGAAAAGAAAAGAAGGAAGAGGAAGTCCAGTCTGTATTACTTGTTCCATAGTAGCTTTATAGGGCTTGTACTTTATAATCTTGGAATATCTGAGTTCATCAGCAATGTTGAACTGCTCCACAGGGATTCCCCGTAGTATAATCTTGAAATTTTCGAACTTCTCGAGATATAACATTGAAGCGTAAGCCTAAGGATGAAAAGTGAGTCTCCAAACATCCTTGGAACAATTAAATTATTAGAAAAGGAGGAAGATATTCAGAAGATTACCCTCAGAGAGTAACGTAATTGGTATGATATATGAGATCTCAGTTCCAATACTTTATGGGGCAACCGTTTCCCGTCATGGACACCTTCATCTTGGAGCCGGATGTCCTATACCAATATCAAAGTAAATAATTTAAATGCTTCAAAAAAAAAATCGTCAGCATAAGACCTGACCTAAGAAACCTCTCAAGAGATATCTCATCGAGTGTAATATCATAAAAGGAGAAGTGTGGTTACCTCACTGTCGTCATCAAAACTCAGCTCATAGATTCCTTCATCATTAAGCCACAAGTTGTATATAATTACTTTTGTTCCATGTGTTCCAATATCCACGAACTGATGGGCGGAAGATGGAAAGAAACGAATTAACAAAACAGACCGCATTCACAAGGAATCAAGATCTTCAGGATGAATTTAAGGGAACCGAAGCACATAATGAAATCTATATAAGCTGACTTTAGAAACAACCTGCTGCCAAAGTTCATCCTCTGTAGAAAACGGAGACCATTTGAGTAGAATTTCAAGGTTGGCAGCCCAATCTTCTGGAGATCCATAGATAATTGGTTGTGGTCGCTCCTTAGATATATCAATATCAATCTGCAGTGCATATCAGATCTATCACTTGAGAACAAAGAAGATTTGCACATTCTAGAGTTTCCAAGAAAAAAATCTAAAAATGCGTAAAATCTACCATAGGAACAATGACATCATCCTGACCAGTTTTTCTGAGGAACGTGTAAGACAGAAGACCAACGCTCTGAGTGGATTTGCTAAAACAGCGAAGATAAAAAGGTTAAAACAAGAGCAAACGCCAAATTCAAAGTGTATATGATCAGATATATCAATACCCTCCACGAGTTGAGCGACTAAAAACAATGGCATCAGCTCCAAGCCTCATGGTACTTGTCTTGAAACCATTTCCATCTGAACACAAAAGGTGAAACTCTGGTTAGAGACCGCCTGTTGGAGACCAAGACAGCAAGACCACTCAACTAGAAACGAGCTCAATATCATATTAACTAAGTAAAACAATTACACTGTCCAATTGTTGTATTAGACTTCTTTGATGAGTAGCCTAAGCTCATGCATTTTCTGAGCCCATCGGGATCCATCCCACCGCCATCATCTTCCAGTTGAAAAAGAAAGGAGACACCATTTCATTAACAATATCCAAAGCCTCAGTTTGGCAAAAGCACTACACACTGATTCAAAGGAAATGTACCTTGGAAAACTAAAGCTGGTGAATTATCTTTGACAATATCGATCTTATCAATCTTAACAAACGTAGCACCATTTTGTATCTGAGAAATAACCAATTCGACATAACCAAACACAGTACCAATGCTATAAAAAACAATTCAAAACGAAAAAGATCATCAAAAGTGAACTTAAGAAAGCATTTCACTCCTCAGGCATACCTCGTCAACAGCATTGTCAAGTAGCTCGGCGATTGCTGCAATACGATGCAAAGATAACAATCATCATCACCAAAATTATTCATTCTACACCTCCAAGGAGTTATAGAACCAAAAATCTATCTAATTGATAGCTACAACAGAGTCAATTCATAGCTTACCTCCAAACGCCCATTTGTGTGAAGTAGCATTCGAGTGAAGAAACTTTGGATGTACTCGAGCATGCTCAACCATACCTGACAAATTTCATCTCATCAAAATACTCCCAAAACCATCATCGTGACGCTTGCGTGTGTATGAGAAAGAGAAGGAAATGACCTGAAGCAGTTGGGGTAACACCGGTAGGGATCACAAAGTTTTCGCCGGCTTTCCAGAAACTCCGGCATTTTAGGGTTTCTCGAGGAGCCACTGTCGTATCGATCGTGCTTGAAACTTTCTGATTCTCCATTAGGGACGCCATGCTTCGAAAAGTTCCTCTTCCTTCTACTCCGTCGTCACTGTCACTGTCGAGATTAACGACAACAGAGAGTGGTGCATTTTTCGACTTCGAAGCCATTACCGGCGACGGTGAACTCGAATCGACAAAGAAATTCGAATTCAATGAAACAACGTCTTCTCCGATTAGACTGGAGAGAGACTTTTTAAGTATGAAGAAAAAGCAAACGTCTTCTTCGTCATCAACACATCATTTACTTTGCGTTTTTTTCCCGGTCATCAGTCTAATTGGGCCACAAAAGCCCAATTACATTAGAGGCCCATTTCCAAAAAAAAGTATTATACTTCTGTACATACGTTACATATATGCACATGCTATTATCCAAATACAAGAACACCATCAAAGGTGAAAAACACCAAAAAGTCTGAATCAAACTAGGGTTCTTTAGATTCCAGATAGTCTTAACTCGTAACGCTTTTACTAAACTTGTTGCATCTCCTTCTTCTTAGCATCCACAAGAAGAGCAAGTTGTGCACATTTACTTTTAACTTCCTCCAGTTCTTTTTCTAAGCTCTTTACCTGTTTCATCATCCAATGTATTCCGGTGTTAGAGTCCAATGTAATAAACAGATGTTTTGTACTGCGGAATCAAACTTACCGTCTGTTCTATTTCATTCTCTTTCTTTATATATTCCTCGCACCTGTTGAACAATGATATTTGATTCAGATGCCCAGAGAGATATGATACTGCAATGTGTTTTCCTCATGTTATACATATACCTCATGAAGAGTTGTAAGTTCTCTTCGCTTATCTCACCCGCTGACTTGCCAACGAGGTTGTTTCCAGTATCCTGCCAAGATATTTTTATTTTAGATCAAACTAGTGGATAAAAACTATATCATTGACAGAATTCACTTACAGCAGCTGCAGGTTGTGGGTTGAGCTGCACGGGTTGGAAGTTACTTCTTAAACCCGTGGAATTTCTCAAATGTGGCGCTGCAACAGAAACTGTACGGTTTGAAGTGGCTTTACTAAAATTAATTTCACGTATTATCGGACCACCTTGACTTATTTTATCAGAAGGCAAAGGCGAAGGATTGAATGTATTGACAGTAGGCGGTTGATCAGGTATTGCTATCTTTTTCGACTTATCTGCAGGCATTTGAGAAGTATGGTATCCAAAAACGTGGCAGTGGGTATACCTGTTTTTCTCCATAACAAGCAGTGGAAGAGTCAACCAAAGATATTGCGGTTTGGAATAAAGTTCAAATTGACAAAATAGTGAGAATATTTAAAAAGGTTTTGGAGGGAACGAAGAGACCAGTAACTATAGACAATCTTTCTCAACCGCGCCTCCAGCCGCTGAAATAGAGAAGACCTTTCAAAATCTTGCTTATCGTGGGCTGGTTCTATGAAGTTTGCTTCAAGAACTCCTGGGGAACAGATTTTGGTTAATGAGTCTCCAGCCAGATCTTTACGTCAAACTAAACATAGTCAATGAAATCACAAAGGAGAATAAATCAATATACCCACAACACCATTGCCTTTCGATTCCCCTCCCATAGTGACCTTCCAGAAAGGCTGTAATGGTGCAAGAGAGATCTAAACATAATCAAGGCATATTCAAAGCCGGACGTTTAAGGAACAAATATGCTAGCAAACCAATCTTTTAATGTTCTATTAAGCATGGCATTCCTGTAATATAAGCTGATTTTTCTGAATTGTCAAGTAACAATCTTACTACAGATGCTTCTTTAGATTATTTAGATCAAAGCGTACCCGGATGAGACGGTTTTTGTGATAGACATTGAAACCGCAGATTGCAAGCTTAGGCGCCTCCTTTACAAATCCAACTTTGATTTCAATGGAAGCCTGTAACAAGAAAGCTTAGTGGGTTTTTTCCCACAACCTAAACCTAAAAACCTAGATTAATATTTGCATAAGAAAACACAAAGATTATATGCAACGGCAAAATAGCAAAACAATTAGCCAAAGTTCCATATAACAAAACTAGAGAGTAGACAAGAAAAGAGGAAGAGGAAGTCCAGTTTGTATTACTTGTTCCATTGTAGCTGTATGGGGCTTGTACTTTATAATCTCGGGAAATCTAAATTCATCAGCAATGTTGAACTGCTCCACAGGGATTCCTCGAATTATAATTTTGAAGTTTTTGAACTTTTTGAGATATAACATTGAAGCATAAGCCTAGGGATGAAGAAATAACAAAGTGAATCTTCAGATATCCATGGAACAAAACATTATTAGAAAAAGGAAGAAAATATTAAGGAGATTACCCTCAGAGAGTAACGTAAGTGGTATGAAATATGAGATCTCAGTTCCAATAATTTATGGTGCAACCGTTTTCCATCATTGACACTTTCATCTCGAAGCCGGATGTCCTATACCAATATCAAAGCATAAGATCAGACCTAAAACACCTCTGGCAAGATATCTCATCGAGTATATATCATTTGAGGAAAAGTGTGTGTTACCTCGTCGTCGTCGTCAAAACTCAGCTCATAGATTCCTTCATCATTAAGCCACAAGTTGTATATAATTACTTTTGTTCCATGAGTTCCAACGTCCTCGAACTGGTGGGCGGAAGATGGAAAATTAAAAAAATTAACAAAACAGACTGCAATCACATGTAATAAAAATCTTCAGATTGCTTTAGGGGAACGGAAGCACATTAGGACACAAGTCAAGGAAGAACAGTGATGCAATGAGATATTCAAAAGCTGACTTTCAAAAGAAACAACCTGCTGCAAAAGTTCATCCTCTGTAGAAAACGGAGACCATTTGAGTAGAATTTCAAGGTTGGCAGCCCAATCTTCTGGAGATCCATAGATAATTGGCTGTGGACTCTCCTTGGATATATCAATATCAATCTGCATTGCATATCGGATCTATCACTTGAGAACAAAGAAGAGTTGCACATTCTAGAGTTTCCAAGAATTATTTATTTCAGGCATGAATCAAAATCTACAAATACTGAATATTTTACCATAGGAACAATGACATCATCCTGACCAGTTTTTCTGAGGAACGTGTAAGACAGAAGACCAACACTCTGAGTAGATGTGCTAAAACAGAGAAGAATAAAAAGGTTAAAACAAGAGCAAAGGCCAAATTCAGAGTGAATATGACCAGATACAATATCAAATACCCTCCACGAGTTGAGCGACTAAAAACAATGGCATCAGCTCCAAGTCTCATGGTACTAGTCTTGAAACCATTTCCATCTGAACACAAAAGGTGAAACTCTGGTTAGAGATCGCCTGTTGGAGACCAAGACAGCAAGACCACTCAACTAAAAACGAGCTCAAGATCATATCAACTAAGTAAAACAATTACACTGTCCAATCGTGGTATTAGACTTCTTTGATGAGTAGCCTAAGCTCATGCATTTTCTGAGCCCAGCGGGATCCATCCCACTGCCATCATCTTCAAGTGAAAAACAAAATAGAAACCATATCATTAACAACATCCAAAGCCTTGGTTAGGCAAAAGCACCACACGGTCATTCAAAGGAAATGTACCTTGGAAAAGTAAAGCTGGGGAATTATCTTTGACAATATTGATCTTATCAATCTTAACAAATGTAGCACCATTTTGTATCTGAGGAATAAGCAATTCGATATAACCAAACCCGTTACCAATGCTTTAAAAAACAGTTCACTTGCAACGAATCCAAAATGAACTTAAGAAAGCATTTCCTTCCTCACACATACCTCGTCAACAGCATTGTCAAGTAGCTCAGCGATTGCTGCAATACATTACATAGCTCAGATGATCATCACAAATTTATCTAATTGATCGCACCAATAGAGACAACAATTCATAGCTTTACCTCCAAAAGCCCATTTGTGTGAAGTAGCATTGGAGTGAAGAAACCTGGGATGAACTCGAGCATGCTCAAGCATACCTGTCAAATTTCATCTCATTAAATACTCCCAAAACCATATTTCGTGATGCATGCGTGTGTATGAGGAAGAGAGAGATGACCTGGAGCAGTTGGAGTCACAACGTTCGGTGTCACAAAGTTTTCTCCGGCCTTCCAAAAGCTCCGGCATTCTAAGGTTTCCGGAGGAGCCACCGTCGCAGCATCAGCGATTGTACTTGCTGATTCTCTTCCTCCTACTCCGTCGTCACTGTCACTATCACTGTCGAGATGAACAACATCAGCGACTGCTGCAATTTTCGCCATAGAGGCATGAATTGAGCTCAAATTCTAATTTAATGAAGCAAAGCAGTCGTCTTCTCCGATAAGACTAGTAAGACTTTTCAACTACAGTATGAAGAAAAAGCAAACGTCTTTTTTTCGTCATCATTATTTGCTTTGCCTTTTTTTTTGGTCATGTCTAATTGGGCTCCAAAGCCGAAATACTTATAGGCCCATTTCTCAAAAATGTTTACAAGTGTTTTTATACTTCTGTACATATGCTACATAATATGCACATGACATGCTATCAAGCAAATCCAAGAACACCATGAAAGTTAAAAAAAAAAAAAAAAAAAAATCAAGAACACCAAAAAATCTTAATCAAACTAGGCTTCTTTAGATTCCAGATAGTCTTAACTCTTAACGTTTTAACTAAAATTGTTGCATCTCCTTCTTCTTAGCGTCCACAAGCAGAGCAAGTTGTGCACATTTACTTTTAACTTCCTCTAGTTCTTTTTCTAAGCTCTTTACCTGTTTCATCATCAATTTATACCGGTGTTAGATTCCATGTAGTAAGGAGATGTTTTTTTCTGGTTTTCTACTGCGGAATCAAACTTACCGTTTGTTCTACTTCATTCTCTTTCTTTATATATTCCTCGCACCTGTTGAAAAATAACATTTGATTGAGATCGTCAGAGAGATATGATACTGAAATGTGTTTTTCTCTTGTTATAAATATACCTCATGAAGAGTTGTATGTTCTCTTCCCTTATCTCATCCGCTGACTTGCCAACGAGGTTGTTTCCAGTATCCTGCCAAGATTTTTTTCACTTTAGATCAAACTTGTGGATAATACTATATCATCGACTGAATTCACTTACAGCAGCTGCAGGTTGTGGGTTGAGCTGCACGGGTTGGAAGATACTTCTTAAACCCGTGGAATTTCTCAAATGTGGTGCTGCAACAGCAACTGTACGGCTTGAAGTGGCGTTACTAAGATTGATTTCACGTATTATCGGACCACCTTGATTAATTTTATCAGAAGGCAAAGGCGAAGGATTGAATGTACTGACAGTAGGGGGTTGATCAGGTATTGCTATCCTTTTCGACCTATCTGCAGGAATTTGACCAGTTTGGTATCCGAAAACGTGGCAGTGGCTTTGCCTGTTCTTCCCCATAACAAGCAGTGGAATAGTCAAACAAAGGTATTGCAGTTTGGAAACAAAATCATATTGACAAAATATTGAGTGATGATTGGAAAAGGTTTTAGAGAGGTAGAAGAGACCAGTAATCAGAGATAATCCTTTTCAGCCTCCCCTCCAGCCGCAGAAATAGAGAAGATCTCTCAAAATCTTGCTTATCGTGGGCTGGTTCTATGAAGTTTGCTTCAAGAACTCCTGGGGAACAGATTTTGGTAATGAGTCTCTCCTCCAGGGTTTTATCCCAAACAAAAGATATTCAATTGAAATATATAATATATAAGGAGAATGAATCACTATACCCACAACACCATTGCCTCTCGTTGACCCTTCCAGAACGACCTTCCAGAATGGCTGTAACGGTCAAGAGAGATCTCAACTTAATCAAGCCAAATGCAAAGCCGGAAGCTTAAGTGAAAATATGCTAACAAACTTACTACCGTTGCTTCTAGAGATTAAGAGCATAGCAATAACTGCAGTATCAAAACGTACCCGGATGAGACGGTTTTTGTGATAGACATTGAAACCGCAAATTGGAAGTTTAGGCGCCTCCTTGATGAATCCAACTTTAATTCCAGTGGCAGCCTGTAATAAGAAAGCTTAGTGGTTTTGCTCTCACAGTCTAATCATTAAAATATAGATTAATGTTTGCATATGAAAATACAGCCGGAGCTCCATGTAATAAAACCAGCGAGTAAAAAGAAAGAAAAAAGGAAGTCTTGGTTTGTATTACATATTCCATTGCAGCTGCTTGGGGTTTGTACATTATTGTCTCAGGATGTCTGAATTCATCAGCAATGTTGAATTGCTCCACAGGGATTCCCCGAAGAATAATTTTGAAGTTTTTGAACTTTTTGAGATATAACATGGAAATGTAAGCCTAAGGATAGAGAAACTAAGTCAGCATTTAAACATCATTGCAATAGTAAGAAAAAAACTAAATAGAAAGAAGATATTCAGGAGGATTACCCTTAGAGAATGTCGATAGCGGTATGAAATATGAGATCTTAGTTCCAATGTTTTAGCATACAACCGTTTCCCATCCTGGGCATTTTCATCTCGGAGCCGTATATCCTATTATACCAATATCAAGGAAAACAATTTAAATACTTTAAATCCAACTTCTGCAAAGGACTTCATCATAGACCCTTTCAGGAAGTGTACCTCATCATCGTCGTCAAAACTCAATTCATAGATTCCTTCATCATTAAGCCACAAGTTGTATATAATTACTTTTGTTCCATGAGTTCCAATATCCTCGAACTGGTAGATAAAGAATGGAAATAAATGAATGAATAAACAGGCCACGTTAATATTACACTCAGAACCAGAGTTTTTAGAAGGAAACAACCTGCTGCAAAAGTTCTTCCATTGTTGAAAACGGGGACCATTTTAGAAGAATGTTAAGGTTGGTAGACCAATCTCCGGGAGACCCATAAATTATTGGTTGGGGCCTAACACTGGATATATCGAAATCAATCTGCATTGCAGATATGATAACATCAAGATAAGACAATAGTTGCAGATTCATGAGTTTCCAAACATACAAGTGAAATACTCAGTTCAGACATGAAAACAAAAAGCTATATAAGCTGAGGATTTTACCATAGGAACGATAACATCATCCTGACCAGTTTTCCTAAGGAATGTGTAAGACAGAAGACCAATGCTCTGTGTAGATTTGCTAAAACAGATAAGATAAAAGTATGGTTAAGTAAAAAAAAGAGCATACGCCAAATCCAGACAATAAATGTACCAGATATATCAATACCCTCCACGAGTTGAGCGACTAAAAACAATGGCATCAGCTCCAAGTCTCATGGTACTTGTCTTGAAACCATTTCCATCTACACACATAGGTGGAACTATAGTTAAAGACCTGCCTTTTGCACCAAACTAGAAAGAAATCGATGTCCGATCAACAAAATATAACAATTACACTGTCCAATCGTCGTATTAGACTTCTTTGACGAGTAGCCTAAGCTCATGCATTTTCTGATCCCATTAGGATCCATCCCACCGCCATTATCTTCAAGTGAAAAAACAAAAGAAGGATCATGTCATACTCATGCACAAGATTCAAAGACTCGTTTAGGAAAAGCCTCACCGATACATTCAAAGGCAGTATACCTTGGAAAACTAAAGCAGGGGTATTATCTTTAACAATATTGATCTTATCAATCTTGACAAAGGTGGCTCCGTTTTGTACCTGAGGAAAACGCAAACAAACATAACCAAACAGTATACAATTCACTGGCAATGAACAAAAACAAAAGCAAAACCTAAGAGAAGCATTTCACTCCTCATGCATACCTCGTCAACCGCATTGTCAAGTAGCTCGGCGATTGCTGCAATACAATACAAAGAAGAAGAAATTGACAAAGATGATCATCACAAAAATTGTTCATTCAACTAACTGATAGCTACAACAGAGTCAATTCATAGCTTTACCTCCAAAAGCCCATTTATGTGAAGTAGCATTCGAGTGAAGAAACTTTGGATGAACACGAGCATGTTCAACCATACCTGTCAAATTTCATCTCATTAAGTACTCCCAAAACCATAATTGTGGAGCGTGAGTGAGAGAGAATCAGAGAAATAACCTGGAGCAGTTGGAGTAACACCGGAAGGGATCACAAAGTTCTCGCCGGCTTTCCAGAAACTCCGGCATTCTAGGGTTTCTCGAGGAGCCACCGTCGCAGCATCAGCGTTCGAAACTTGCTGATTCTCCATTAGAGATGTCAAGCTTCGACCCATTCCTATTCCTCCTCCGTCGTCGTCGTCACTGTCACTGTCGAGAATTACGATATCGGCGACTGTGTTTTTCGCCATTACCGACGGCGACAAACGAATTCGAACAAAACAACGGGATGTTTTACTGTTTTACAATAAAACAACGCGGTGTGTGCAGATCACTAGAGTTTTTGCTTTGTTTAATTTTTGCTTTTAAGAGTCGGTTTAACTAATAAGAAAACAGCAAGGCGTTTTCTAATCTCCGATATTATTGCTTTGCTCTTACAGTGCAGATCTTTATTGGGTCACAAAGCCCAACTTTGCTAAAAGCCTATTAGGCTATAACCCATTAGATATATGGAGATTATTTATCGAAAATAAATTAATTACTGAATCCAAATGTGTTTATGATAATACTTCACAAAAATTGTTGAAGCTGATCGGAGACATTTTGAAATTTGGGAAAATCCAACACAAACTCTATTAAATCGAAGTAAATAAATAATAGAACACCAAAAATCCAAGCAGAAAACAAAATAATTAATCTAAAAGAAAACAAAAAAAAAGTTCTAAATTAAACCAACGACTAAAGAAGTTTAGGCCCTAGTGTTGCCAGATACTAATTCCTCTACTGGATAGAAATATCTGTTATGCAACATAATTGAATCAGCGGCAATAGGCTCATTGTCTTGGTTCCTATGCCATGTGTAGAACGCGTGAGTTCTATTGAAAATCTCCAAAACCGCATGACCAAAACTAGCTTCTCTATACGCCGAATAGCTCGGTTGAGGATCAGTAAAACTACAAAAACAGATCAAAACCAAAACAAGAATTTAGTTTCATATCACCAAAACAATCACAAATTAAAGCAATAAAATAAAAAAATGGTTTTTTGTTACCTATTTGCGATTCCTTCAATGTTTCCTCCATCTCCGATAGTAATGTAAATCGGGGCAGAAGGATCTTTCACAGGAGAGCTCAAGCCATTGGTGATGTTATATTTGATATTGGAGACACGTTCGGATCTCTCATAGGAATGGACGTGACCAGACAATACCAAATCAACTTTGTTGTTAACGAACCATGACTCAAACATTGCTCTCATGCTCTCACCTTCCATGTAATGGTAGTTATTACTGTTGTACCACGGCGAGTGAACCATGACAATAAGCCATGGAGTCTCTGATCTGTTCACCTTCTTCAACTCTTGCTCCAGCCACACATATTGAGGTGTGTATTTTCCTGAGATGCAAATAACATGTTATTCAAAAAAAAATACAAGAAATTAACCATCAAAATCGTAAAGATGTTGTGTGTTTATTAATTACCGTAGGCAGAGTAAGAGGAGAGGACGATGATGTGAGCAGAGGCACGTCTAATAGAGTACCAAAGAGGTGAAGTGCTCTTCGAAGCTTTGTAGGCGTTATGGTAACGGTGAGTGTAGGGCTTGAAGGCATGAGGCTCCCCCTAATTTAAGATTCATATGGTTCTTAAAACTGAAACTGCGAATCAGAAAAAAAAAAAATAGCTAAAATTGAGAGAATTATAATGTGGACTTACTATGTTTGGGACAAAATCAATTTCATGATTTCCTGCAGCATAGATGAAGGGTTGGTAAGCAGCACAAGGCTCCACGAATCTTCCGTAAGAATCCCACTTTCGTTGATCATGGTTTGGATGATCATCTGCGTAAGATAAGTCTCCAGGAAAGAGAACAGCTTGGCCTTTAGGGTTTGACATGTAATGATATAATGTCTCGTTCGAAGCATAAGTTTGTCCAAGATCACCTACAAACACAATGTCTTTATTAGATCGATTTGGAAATATTAATTATATATAATTTCGAAAGATATGTAAAAGAAAATTTAAGTACCAATAATGCCGAATGTGTATGGAACATCAGGTCCAACCTTTGGAGGTGTAGTGAAAGAAAATTGCCTAACCGATTTATCAGTTCCAACCTCATAGATGTACTTGGTATCGTACTGTATAAATACGAGAAGGAAACTTTATAAAACACTTTTGAAACAAAAAAAAAAGTGATGTTGTTACTTATATGACAAGTTAAATTATACAAAGTACAAACCTCGAGTCCTTTAATGGTGGCATGATGAAGAAAACCAGAATTATAGTCATAAAATCGGTAAGACGACGTGGAAGCATGAGTTCTCTTCTTTTCCGACTTCACATCGCCGCTAACCGCCTTCCAGTAAGTAACAACGTTAGAACCATGAAGGTTTAACGGTGTCACCCACGAGATGATCATGCCACGTCCATTGTAATCTCCTTGGACGATATGAACCTAGCCAACGATACAAAAAATCAATATGGATTAATTGTTTTGTTAAGATACAATACAATTAGGGACTTTAACAAAAAGATTAAAAAAAACAATAATAGAAAAAAAACAAAACATTGTATGGCCTCTGTAAAACATAATTAATCGTTACTGATTATTGCCATGTGCAAACCTAACTGATATTGATACTTGTTAAATTCAGAAACTTGAGCCCTAAATTAACAAACACAAAATTTATGATCTAAAAACAAGAAAATCGAAAAGTAGATTAAGAAATCAAAACCTGTTCAGGAGCATTATGACCAGCCGGAGATGGAAAAGTTTCGAGAGGCATCTCGGTTGATGGTTGAGCTTTTCGGACAAAGTCGCTTGTCGTTCCACCATTGATCACAGTGGTGATGCTTAGAAACACAAGAACAAGTATAAATTTGTTCATCCTCATATTTGATCTATGATCGTAGCTGCTTAAAGAGTTTTGAGTTTTTTTTGTTTCTGATTAAAGAACGTATGGTAGCGTTTATATAGAACTTAATTAAAGTTTTTTTTTTTTTTTTTTTTTGCAAAAGAAGAGATAAAGTTGGAATTGAAAGTATATCCTAATGGAAAAAGGATTCTTATAGACATTAAACGGTTATTGAGATTATCATGATCATATTTTGGAATCAAACTTTTTGTGATATGGTTGCATAATTTACCTCGCATAACTGTCAAGTTAAATTATATTATATTTGCAACTTTTCCACTTAAGTTGCATATATTATATTTGCAACTTTTCCACTTAAGTTGCATATATTATATTTGTTAAATTAATTGTATGGCCTCTGTAAAACATGCCTAATGGAAAAAGGATTCTTATAGACATAAACGGTTATGAGATTATTATGATTGTATTTTCGATTAAATCGTATCTTCCATTAGATACGATTTAATCATATAGAATATGGATTAATTAAAAAAAATTGAGATATAGTTGCATCAATCATATTTGATTTATGTTATAAAATATAAGAATTTTGATCACTATTCTAAAGTCAAAATTTGGTTTCAAGTCATAAAAGTTGCATAATTTAGCTTAAGGGGAATAATTTCAGTTTTTTTTTTTTTTGCTGGTTTGCAAAATAAATTCTTGTAAGATATGTTTTTATCCGATTAAAAAGTTAAGATTTTAAAAAGATTTTCTGCGATTTTATAATTTACAAAGGAAAAAGTTTTAATAACATAAATATTTTGTTAGATAATTAGAAAAGAAGAAATTTGTTGAAAGGAAAAATACAACTAAATTAGAAAAGTAAAACGATAATAGATATGATAGAAATGGGTCACCGTAGGATCCTTTCTCCTAAACCTGAACCCTCTTTTGTTGATTACAAAGACAAATCAAATCAAATCAAACCTTAAACTGACTTCATTCAGACCTAACAATCCCGGTCTCCATAACCGGTTAAAATGGTCGGTGGTGACCGGTGGCCTGAATGTTCTTGACAAGACCCGGAATTGCCCAAGACTCATCACAACTCTACAGACTCTTCTCTCTTATCTAACTGAAACTACTCTAAACCCACAAAGTCTCTGTTCAAACTAACACACACACACATTTTAACACAGCTTACATTTTCTTTCTTCATCTCTCTGTATTGTTTGGTTATACATCTTGTAGAAAAAGGGCTCAATGGTTGTCTTTAAGGTCTCCAAGTGGTTACAGATGTCTCTGGGGCACAAACTGCTTCAACGGTCAACCGTTTCAGCACATTCGGACACGGATCTTTCCCGAAATTGGTGTTGGATATCGTCACTGCGCATCTCGCTTTCCCTACACACTTCTGCATATAACAAAATACACCGTGGTTAGAAAGAAGTAAAAGAGTCTGATTCCAGTTTAATCTGTGTAAAGATTCTATCTTTTACCCTCTCTAAGATAGCGTATGAGGTAGCGGCGTGACACTCTCCTTGTTGGTAACTTCCACAAGTTCCTAAAGGAGTCCCGAAGCTTGCAAACTTAATAGATGCAATTGCTTGACCTGGACTACATTTCAAGTGAACCTTGGGTCTATGAAATGTCTGTCCTTTTCCATAGCTTTCGATTTGCCAGTTCTTGATATTAGGGTGGTATTCAGAAACTTCAGCACAAACTCCGGATACTGATCTTTTGACCAAAGAGACAGTTGATGGATTTCCACCAAGCTCCTCGAACATAACCAACAGATTTTGGCTCGGCTTTAACCATGATCTCGGCACATGGTAATATCTTTGTGTAGGTTGACCACAGCCGGTTTGGCATTTGTTCGGTTTATATGTTCCGGTGTAGCTACAATGACTACAGTCACCAGTCGCAAATGCTGTCCAGTATCTTCCAATGCTCTCACCGTTCACCCAAATCTGCCCTTTTCCCATTCCTTCCATGTCCAAAGCAAGCGGCTCATTTCCTTCGGGTGCATCAAAATAAGTCTGAAATAAAACAAAATTTACTAGTTAGTTCAGAACCTAGATTAGAAAAAAGCTGTGTCCGAGTTGTGTTTGATTCAATCAAACCTTGTGCCATGTCAAAGGCTGAGGCTTTTGTACAGTTAAGGACGCATCCATCCATCCAATAGAGGGAGTGTTGGTTGGAAATGCAAGATTCATAGCTTCACCTTTCAGCCCCACCTGATGAAAACAGAGTTAAACAACTTAACACAGAAAAAAGGATCAAAAGAGAGAAATCGCGAGAAAATGGGATAGATAAAACACCTGATATGTCCATTTCTGCCATGACAAATCCCTTTTCCCTTGACTCAACCCATGCAATGCCACTGGACCCAAGATTCCAGTATTCCATGACTCAAAGTGTCCACCCACATTCTTCAAAAACGGAAAAAAAGAAAGGGATCAGGGTAAGAAAAAAACGAAAAACAACTTTTACAGCGGAAGAGAAAAAAGAATACTAACTGGTAATCCAACAGCAACACTCAGCAACGCAATTCTGTTAGTTCCAGAATGCAGATTGATCTTTCCCTGATAAGTGAATCTCCTGTTTTGCCTTGTTCCAAAGGCAGAACCTGCAATTCATATATTATAAGTTTGCATATCAGAAATTTTCTATTAGAAGAAATTAACGGGCCAAACTATTGGAAGTAGTAAAGTACCATACCTGAAAGCTGTCCATTGACAAATATATGCACGGCATGGCCTGTAGATTGAATAATGAGAGTTGGTAGCTCTCCTCCATGCAAGAATGATTCAGTGTCACCGATATCAACACTACATACCAATTCCAAATGTTCGTTAGCAAGTGCCGAGGATCACTTTGAAGCTAGGGAAAGTTAACATCATATTGAGGTAGCTGATGGGTTTTCCTTTTACCTAGTCATGTACCAAAGATAATCGCTTGTGTCACGTGTGACATTTATCTGCTCCAAGAGTCCTTGAGTGGTGAATGTGGAGCTGTCATCCAGAGAAGAAAGATCTTCCAAATAACTCTGCCACTGGAAACTCTTTGTGTCTGAAGGCAACATTTCCATCTGGGATGTTTGAACTCCAACCTTAAATCAAACAAGAGAAATCCACAAGTATCAGAAAAATCACAGACAATTTGAGGAACCATGATTCCGAATTTCAGAACAACCATATACACTTACCTTTGCAGTATTGAAGACTGCATTTCTACAGTCTGGAAGAATGCTGATTGACCAAGGAGGTAAGTTATAATGAACGTTGTTAAACAAAACTCTTGCTGCCGATTCTGTGTCATAGTTTGCAAGGAAAGCCGAACAATCTCCTGATTCTGCAGAGTATACATGAGCCTGGGAAAATAAAGTAGAAAAGAGGATATAATTTAGTAAAAGCTACAGAAAGTTTCTACAACTAAACCAACAAAAATCTATTGTAATAAATCGGTACCTGTTGCTTGTTTCCTATTGATGTAACAACGGGATCAGCTGACACCAGAGCTTTTTCACACATCTTGATAGCTCTGTGGAGCTCCTTTAGGTGACCATATTTAGGTTCTCTGATTAAACCTATTTAACAACGACTCACTTAGTACATAAAGCATTGCAGTAACTTATATTTCAATGAAGGTGTAGAAACTTTAGTTAGCTTCCTGTCCTTACCATATTCGTCGATTGGAGCATCATAATCATAGCTGGTGGTGACAAATGGACCTCCGGCTGTTCTTCCAAAGTTAGTTCCTCCATGATACTGTTCTCAAGAAAAGACAATGGATCTTCTATTTTAAAGATGTTCGATGATAACCAAATCTTAGAGTGTGTAAGGACTAGATGATTAACCAAGTTGCTAAAGTGTACATACCATGTAGTAGTTAACAAAAGAACCTCCTTTTTGTATGAAACGTGCAACACCAAACGCCAGATCCTGAACTGGTCTATGGTGCATTGGCCCACCAAACTCAGTGAACCTGATAATGCATTTCCAGTTTACAGAATAAAAAAGGTTACCGATTTGACAATGACAAATCCATGTGCACATATAAAGTGAAAGCAAATGAGAATCTGTACCAGCCGCTCCATGCCTCTGTCCATATCAAAGGCTTGTATGGCTTGTTCGGAGCAAATGAATCACAGTAGAAACCGTTACATGTGTTTATCTGTCACCAAAACCAATGACTTTAAGTTCATTCTTCAAAGTCAAAGACATTCACCCACTCCAGACCAATTAACTAACTTATTACAATGCTTATGCAATCAAGAAACTCACCACAGGGTCAGGGGCATCGTCTTCCTTGCACATTACCCACGGGACACCAGTCTCAGTTGCTATAGCCATTTTAGCTGCCCATGTCATGTAGTTGTGACCTTCAGCGCCCAATAACTGGCCTTGTCTTCCATACTCATTCTCAATCTACAGTCAAATAAAAGATGACACCTTTCTATTAACTCACATAGATCCCTAAAAACATAACTCAGCATGATCACTAATCAGAGCATTAATCTGTTCCATTCAAGTTTATACCTGAGAAAGGATAATGGGACCACCCTGAGACTCAAACAAGTTCTCACTCTTCATCAGCTCAACTATTCTCTCTGTGAATCCTTTCATAGCTCTCTGCAAACATTACCCCAACTACAATTAATATCTGCAAACCTTTTAATAAAGTAAATGTTCTAAGATGAAAAATTGGATAGTGGAATAAAAAGAGACCTTAAAAGGTTCATTATCTGTTCTGAAGCTGATTCCCGGAACATACTTGAGCCAAACAGGGAATCCTCTGGTCATTGCCAAAAAAGAAAAAGAAAAACTTTATTGACCAGAAACAGAAACTGTATACATATTGCATACACACATAATAAGTAGCCAAATCTAGAGGTGTCTGAAGCTGAAGAGACAAGAGAGGAAATTTCGTAATACCCGAAATTCCACTCGGCGCAAACATAAGGTCCAATTCGAAGATGAGCATATAAACCAGCTTTGTGAATCGTCTTCACGAATCTCACCAAATCATTTCTCCCTTCAAAATCGTACTGAGAGGAAGAAAGAAATCTTCAAAACTCAATGAAC